ACAAACTGCTGCCACTGGCCGAGCTCCCACCCCGTGCCTCCAGCGCAGCCCCTCACTGCTCAGCACGCAGCACAAGCCCCCTGCGCCGAGTCCATCTGTCCCAGCTGCCGTCAGTCCAGGCTCATGGACAGCCCAAGGACAAGCAGCAGAGTGCCCAGGCCCCGGCTCTGGGGGGTTCTCTGAGCTGCCGGTGGCACCGGTGGAGTAGCAGTGGCAGCACCGGGGGCCAGGCCAGCTTGGGTGTGAGTAGCCACCCTCCCCATCCCTCCGGGCTGACGCTGTTGAGTCAGGGATGGAAAGAAAGACTCCAGGTGGATCAGAAGGCAAAAGCGATTAGTGAAAGTAGCGGGTCTTTTATGATGTGACTCGCTAAGGTGAGACTTGATTGGTCTCAAAAGAGAAACATCTCACACTCTTGGTGACTGAATAGCACACCGTGGAGAACCACAGCTATAAACAATGGTTACAGAGAGATAATAATTGTTTGGAGTCTTTTTCTCTAAGATTCCCAGGCTCAGCCTGGGAGAAATAATCTCTGTTCTTTCTTCGACTGAACTGAGGATATCCACAGCGGGCAGGGGCTGGGGAAGGGCCGAGGCAGAGCAGGAGGGCAGCCAGCACCCGGGCTGGGGTCAGGGCTGAGCTCAGGGCTGCGAGCTGCCCGCTGGGGCTCTGCTGCCCTGGAGCCGTGCCCACAGGTGGGAGCTCAGGTGCTCAGGCACATTCATGCCGTGGAAATGGCTCCTCACACTCACACGAGTGTGTTTGGACATGCGCTGGCCCAGGTTTCTGTGGGGCAGGATGGTGATTTCCATGGGGCAGGATGGTGGTTTCCATGGGGCAGGATGGTGGTTTCTCTACAGCAGGATTTTGGTTTACATTGGGCAGGACAGTGTTTTCCATAGGGCAGGATGGTGGTTTCTCTGGGGCAGGATGGTTTCTCTGGGGCAGGATGGTGGTTTCCATGGGGCAGGATGGCAGGTTTCTGTGGGGCAGGATGGTGATTTCCATGGGGCAGGATGGGGTTTCCATGGGGCAGGACAATGGTTTCCATGGGGCAGGATGGTGGTTTCCATGGGGCAGGATGGAGGTTTCCGTGGGGCAGGTTGGGGGCTTCCATGGGGCAGGACGCTGGTTTCCATGTGGCAGGTTTGTGGTTTCCATGGGGCAAGATGGTGGTTTCTGTGGGGCAGGATGGTGGTTTCTGTGGGATAGGATGGAGGTTTCTATGGGGCAGGCTGGTGATTTCCATGGAGCAGGATGGAGGTTTCCATAGGGCAGGATGGGGTTTCCATGGGGCAGGATGGGGTTTCCATGGTGTAGGATGTTGGTTTCCATGGGGCAGGATGGTGATTTCCATGGGGCTCTCGGGGGGGGGCTCAGGGGTTCACGGCTGGTGGTCCCACCGAGGCTGATGGTCCCACCATGGGGCTGATGGCCCCATCTGGAGCTGATGATCCCATCTGGGGCTGGTGGCCCCACCATGAGGCTGATGGCCCCACCATGGGGCTGATGGTCCCACCATGAGGCTGATGGCCTCATCTGGAGCTGATGATCCCATCTGGGGCTGATGATCCTAAGGGCCTGAAGGTCCCACCATGAGGCTGATGGTCCCACCATGAGGGTGATGGTTCCACCATGGGGCTGATGCCCCATCTGGAGCTGATGGTCCCACCATGGGGCTGATGATCCCACCATGGGGCTGAGGGGCTCAGGGGCTCACAGCTGGTGGTGCCACCGAGGCTGATGGTCCCACCACGGGGCTGATGGTCCCACCATGGGGCTGAAGGTCCTGTCTGGGGCTGATGGCCCCACCATGAGGCTGATGGTCCCACCATGGGGCTGATGGCCCCACTATGGGGCTGATGATCCTATCTGGGCCTGAAGGTCCCACCATGAGGCTGATGGTCCCACCATGAGGGTGATGGTTCCACCATGGGGCTGATGCCCCATCTGGAGCTGATGGTCCCACCATGGGGCTGATGATCCCACCATGGGGCTGATGGTCCCACCATGGGGCTGAAGATCCCACCTGGAGCTGATGGCCCCACCATGGGGCTGATGATCCCACCTGGAGCTAATGGCCCCACCATGGGGCTGATGGTCCCACCATGGGGCTGATGGTCCCACCATGGGGCTGAAGGTCCTATCTGGGGCTGATGGTCCCACCATGGGGATGATGGTCCCACCTGGAGCCCCACTCCCCACTGCTGCCACCCGCTGACCTGCTGCCCTGGCAACGTGATCCCTCAAATTCAGCACGTGCTGCAGACCCCAGCCCCAGAGAGCCACAGAGGTTCTCCCAGGACATCCCCGCTCCCCACCTCATCTCCCTGAGGACGGTGAAGTTCCAGCAGGTGAGATTCCCGTGTTCCCATTCCTGTGCTCCGCGTGGGTGTGTCTGTCCATTGTATCACTGCCAGCCTCGCTGGCAACTAACAGCTCGTGTCTCCTGCCCGGGGGCTGCTCCACAGCGAAAACACAAAGCAGTTTGGTGTGGGCCCAGCCACGCCGTGCCTGCTGTCTTTGCTTCCCAAGCCAGCGCCGTTGCCTGGGGCTCGGGATGCGGCTGACACAAGCCGCGGTGCCGGTGATGCCGGTGGTGCCAGGCACGTTGCCCCAGCTGGGAGTGGTGGGTGAGATTTCCACAGGCACAGGAATGTGCAACGCAACTGGCGCTGGCGAGTTCCAGCCCGGGACGCGTTGGCAGCTGTGCCACCAGGAGCCGTGGGCTCAGCCCTGCTCTTGGGGGGCTGTGGCAAAGGGTTCTGACCTGTGCCGGGGGTTTCTCTGTGCACGGCCAGGGATGTGCCCAGCACAGGCACAATTCCAGGCCTGGACTCTTTGGCTCCGTGCTTATTCAGAAAAGAAGTGGAGGAGAGACGGTTTTTTGGGTGAAACAGTCCAAAAACAGAGCCGGAAGCCGTGAGGACACGGCCAGGTGACAAAGGGGATGGGGATTGGGAGGGGACAGCCAGGCAGTGCTGGCGGGGGATCAAAGAGAACAGCCACAGCCCTCGTGTGCGGGGTCTGGCACTCCCCCAAGGCAGGGAGGTGCCAGGCGAGGGTGGTGGTGCTGCAGCGCCTGAGGACAGTCCCATGCTCAAGGTGTCCCCCATCTCTTGGAGTGGGGACACAACCAGAGCCTCCATCCCATCCCGACAGGCAGCTGGGCCCATCCCAGCTGGGACGGGACATGCAGGTGATGGATGCACAGCTGCCAGGACCGTGCTGGACACAGACATTCCCGGTGCCCTCGGGGCTGCGGGGTGTCCAAAAAGCGGCCAGCACCCAGGGACAGGGATCCGCCTCTCCCCGTGCTGCCCACGGTGGGCGATGGTGCCGGCAGGAATGCCAGCAGGAATGCCAGCAATGCCTTCCTCGGAAAGGAGGGGATGCGGGGCGGTGCCTGCTGGCACCGCTGCAGCGCCCGGGGCTCGCCAGCCGCGGCTCCGGCGCCGGGCGGCGCTGCCGGTGGCACCGGCTGGGGCACACCCGGCCCTGCCCGGCCACCGAGTGCCACCGTGCTGCCGGTGGCACCGGCTGGGGCACACCCGGCCCTGCCCGGCCACCGAGTGCCACCGTGCTGCCGGTGGCACCGGCTGGGGCACACCCGGCCCTGCCCGGCCACCGAGTGCCACCGTGCTGCCGGTGGCACCGGCTGGGGCACACCCGGCCCTGCCCGGCCACCGAGTGGCACCACCCTGCTGGGCACCGGCTGTGGGATGGGACTACAGTGAGGGGTGGACGGACTGACGGACTGCAGCCCCTTGTCCTGAGGACACAGACAGACAGACTGATGGACTGCAACCCCTTGTCCTGAGCAGATGGACAGACTGAGACTGCAGCCCCTTGTCCAGACAGACAGACTGACTGACGGACTGCAGCCCCTTGTCCTGAGGACACAGACAGACAGACTGATGGACTGCAACCCCTTGACTGATGGACTGCAGCCCCTTGTCCAGACAGACAGACTGAAACAGACAGACAGACCGAAGGACTGTAGCCCCTTGTCCTGAGCAGATGGACAGACTGATGGACTGCAGCCCCTTGTCCAGACAGACAGACTGAAGGACTGTAGCCGCTTGTCCTGAGCAGATGGACAGACTGTCAGACTGCAGCCCCTTGTCCAGACAGACAGACAGACTGACAGACTGGAGCCCCTTGTCCTGAGCAGACAGACAGACTGACGGACTACAGCTCCCCATCCTGACAGCGGGGTGAGCACACCAGTCAGAGTACAGCCTCCCGCCCCGAGCAGACAGACAGACCGACGGACCCCTGCTTGGGCAGAGGGGCAAGCAGGCTGAAGGATGGCGTGGAGCCCCTCCCCAAGCGGGCGGACGGACGGACGGACGGACGGACAGACGGGGTGCTCATAGAAAAAGGAACCTCCGAGGGATGGCGTGGAGCCCCTCCCCGAGCGGGCGGACGGACGGACGGACGGACAGACGGGGTGCTCATAGAAAAAGGAACCTCACTACAGTTTATTGTGGCGGCGGGCGGGCCCGGCCGGGGTTACATTCAGCGCTACTGCTGTCCGGTTAGCGGGGTGGCACGGTGAGCATGCGTCAGCAGGGCGGGGGTCCCGCTGCCCGCCGGTGCCGCCGGTAGCACGGGAGTGCAGCCCCGTGCCAGGGGACCCCCGCCCGCGGCGGGACCCCCGGGACGGGGGGCGGCCAGAGCCGGGGGCCCGTGCGCGCACACCGAAGGCCGAGGGGTGAGGGTTAGCACCAGAAACGGGGCTCGACATCCGGCCGGGGGTCCCCGGTGCCCGGCTGCCGAGCCCGGCCACCTCCCGCCGGGGCGTGGGAGGCACGATGGGGACCCCCGTCAGCAAGGCCGAACGCCGGGGGTACCGCAGCCGCCCTGAGCTGGCGGCACGGCAGAAGGGCAGGGCCCGGCGGGGGGGGCCCGGCTGGCCCCACAGCCCCGGGCACTCGGAGCGGGGCACCGGGGCTCAGACCCCCCCCTCGCCGCCCGCTGGAGCCGTGGGGCGGGAGACCAGAGCCCGGGGGCTTGGTGGGTGTCGGGAGATACTTGCATATCCTCTGGAACGGGCCCCGGCGGGATCGCTGGCGGGCGTACAGCTCAGCCCCGCTCGGGGGGCCGCAGCGCCGGGCCGGAGACCCGCGGGGGGCGCGGCCGCGGCTTCGCCGCCCTCCAGCCCGGTGGAGGAGGGTCCTGAGTGGGGCCGGCCGAGGGTGCTGGGCGCAGGGCGGGCGCGGGGGTCAGCGGCAGGGGCTGCAGCGCTCCGGAGGGGACCCTTCGGGCGGCTCTGCGGGGGCACGGAGGGGCTGGAGCGCGGAGCTCTCCTGCCCGCGGCTCCAGCGCTGCGAGGGACGGGCACAGCGCACACCGAGCCCGGCTCCCCCGTGCCCCCCAGCCCCGCGGCGCTCACCTGGGGGTGCCGCAGCCAGGCTCTCCTCAGCCGCGCTGAACTGCAGCTCGGCTCCGTCGGGCAGCCCCGAGCCCCGGGAGCGCGGACAGCGGTCCCCGGAGCGCGTCCTCCGCAGCACCGACTGGGGAGGGTGAGGGTCAGCGCCCGCGGCGGGTGGGTTGGGGGGGATCGGGACTTCACGGGGGGCTCCACGGCCCTTACCTTCCTGGCCAGGGGGCTGCTGGGGGCCGAGGCGCTGCTGTAGAGGCTGAGGCTGGAGTTGGAGCGGCTCGGGGACAGCACTTTGGAGGAGGCCGCAGATTGGTTGCCGGCACACCTGGCGGCGGCCCCGAAGACGTCGGAGGACAGGTACTTCTCGTTGATCTTCAGGTTGGTCCTTCCCTTCACTGGGGACAACGGAGGGGGCGAGTGATGGGGTCCCAGCAGTGCGAGACCCTGGGGAGTGCGCTAAGCTGTGCCCCCCATGGCCCCACAGGCACCGCGCCGGGCACGGGGACACCCCCACACGAGTGCCCGGTGTGGGACCCCCACACCCACCTCTGCAGGGGTCGTTCTTCACCAGGAACTCATCCAGGGCGATCCAGCCCCCACCCACCCTCACCATGAGGGTGCTGCGCAGGATCCGCACCATCCGCAGCTGCTGGGACTCCCCGAACTGCAGGGAGAGGGATGCTGGGGCAAGGTGGGGGCTTTGGCAGGGCTGGGCATCGGGAAGGGGTGCCAGAGCAGGTGGCAGCACCCAGACCTGCCCCTCCCTGCGGCCCTGCCCTCCCACAGGGGCCGGGCTCCTTGGGGCATGGGGCTGTGCCCCCTCCCTGCCCTGGCACAGGGGCACTGCAGGACCCCTGCACAGGGCTGTGCCCCCTCCCTGCCCTGGCACACGGGCACTGCAGGACCCCTGCACGGGGCTGTGCCCCCCCCCTGCCCCGGCACATGGGCACTGCAGGACCCCTGCACAGGGCACGGGGCTGTGCCCCCTCCCTGCCCCGGCACAGGGGCACTGCAGGACCCCTGCACGGGGCACGGGGACGTGCACAGGTGTCAGAGCAAGCCGGAACCCCAGCTCGGCACTTACCCGGTACCTGTTGGCGCTGATCTGCTCCACCTGGAAGCGCTTGGCGCAGTTGCACTGGGCCACCTGCCTGTTCACCTGCGGGGGCACGCTCAGCTCAGCCCCAGGCGGGGTGTCCACCCTTCCAGTCGCCCCCCACCCTCGCTGACCCCCCCACACCTCGTCCTGGATCTGATCGGCGTCGGCGGAGCGGCGCAGCGGGTCCCGGTTGGGGTGCAGGGCGCTGACGAACTCGTAGTAGTCGATGAAGCCGTCGCCGTTCATGTCAAAGATGGTGGCCACGGCATTCATCTCCAGGACGTTGGTGGGGAACTCTGTGGGGGCACAGGGACCGTCAGCCCCCCAGTGCCGGCCCCTTCAGCCTCCTCCAGCCCCCCCGGCACCCACTGGAGGCGAGGACGCTCTCGACGAATTCCCGCTGGCTGATGCGCCCGTCCTGGTCCCTGTCGATGCCGCGGAACACGTCCAGGACGCGGGACTTCATCTGGCTGATCCACTGCATGTAGCGCTTCCTCCAGACCCCGAAGTCAAAGTGCGCGAACTCCTCCAGCTGGGAGGGGCACAGAGGGGATGAACACCACAGCAGGACCCCCTCGTGCCCCCCACGCTGTGCCCGCGTCCAGCCTCAGCTCCACAGCCTGGCTGCTCCCAGCCCTGGCCCTGACAAGGCTGCAAGGGGGGGGGGTCTCTGCCCAGGACCCCCTACTCCGTGGTGCACAGGACTCCAGCAGCCCCTCTGGGATGTCAAGGTGCACCCATGGGACCCCCAGCTGCTGGGACAGGGTGACCCCATCTGCATTTGACCTGGCCGGGGGTGCCCATGGGCAGAAGATGAGAGGAGCTACTCAGGACCCCCAGGGCAGGGGGACCCCTGGGTGGCAGCCCTACCTCCCGCAGGCGCTGCAGGGCCGTCTCCAGCCGGTACTGCCGGTCCAGGGCCAGCAGCCAGAGCTGCTGCCAGCGGTGCAGCAGCTGGGCCATGAGGGGGGTCTGGGGCTCCAGCCCCCCGAGCGGCACGGCCGCCGTGCCCTGCGCCTTCCCCCCGCTGCGGCGACCTGCGGAGAGCGGGGTGAGGGCGCGGCTGGGGGTCCCGGGGGATGTGGGGGGCAATGATGGGGGCTCCTTACGTGTGGCCAGTCGGCGGGTGGCAGGGGGGCCCAGATCCACCGCCAGCTTCCGCTTGCAGCTCTTGGTCACCTTCTCCACGTCAGGCTGCTTGCGGTTCAGCTCCTCCATGAACACCTGGGGAGGAGCAATGGCGCTGATTGCTGGCCGGTAGAGCCCCCCATACTCCACAGCCCCACCATGATCCCCAGACCCCCCTGTGCTCCCCAGCCCCCCATGCTCCACAGCCCCTCTGTGGTCCACCATGATCCCCNNNNCGTGCTCCACAGCCCCCCGTGCTCCCCAGACCCCCGTGCTCCTTAGCTCCCCGTGCTCCTTAGCTCCCCGTGCTCCTTAGCTCCCCCGTGCTCCACAGCCCACCCGTGCTCCACAGCCCTCTGTGCTCCACATCCTTTCATGCTCCATAGCCCACCCCGGGCTCCCCAGCCCACCATGCTCCACAGGCCCCCCATGCTCCACAGCCCCACCATGCTCCCCAGACCCCCCATGCTCCCCAGCCCCCCATATTCCCACAGCCCCCCCCATACTCCACAGCCCCCCCCCGTGCCCCCCAACCCCCTGTGACAAAGCAAGCACCACCCAGGAGCCCGGTGCTCCCCAAAGCCCTCGGTGGGGCCAGCTGCCGGCCCAGCTGTGTCGGGGTGTGTCGGGGGGTGCCGCGGTCCCCAGGGCCAGCCGGGTTCGGGGTCCCTCACCGCGTGCTGGGCACTGAGCTCCTCCAGCTGCTCGGCCTCCTCGGGCAGCGGCTCCTGGTCGCGCAGCCCCAGCGCCTCCTCGGCCGCCGTGATCCAGTCCAGCAGCTGCTCCGTCTCCTCCCGCTCGGCCGCCAGCGCGGCCGCCTGCGCCCGCAGCCGCTCGCCCTGCTGCTGCGCCCAGCTCAGCACCTGCAGGGCGGCCGGGGCCCGTGGGGCGCGGGGACACGGGGATGGCACCCCATTGGGGCAGCACCAGGCTCCTGCTGGGCAGCTGGGGCAGGGCTGGGGGTGCTGCCCCCACATGCCGAGCGTCCCCAGGTCTGTGCTCTGTGGCCATGCCGGCTGCTGTCCCGTTTTGGGGCGAGGGGGGTGAGGGGGGCAGCCCCAGGGCAGATCCAGAGCAGATCCTGCAGGTCTCTGCTCAGTAAGGGCTTTGTGTGGGATCGGCTGAACTCGCCAGACCAGTCCCAGGAGTGCCAGGAGCCTCTTACCTACAAATCCAGAGCAACCCAGGGAGGCTCTGGGCCGCTGTGGGAGCATGGTCTGGGGTGAGGGTCCCTAGGACACTGCCCCCAGTTTCCCTGCCTCAGCTGCCTGGTGGTTGCCCAGGAATGAGCCACCACCATCCAGGGGGGCTGTGGAGGCCCCAGGTGACCCCGTGAGGCCACAGGGTGGGGGACCGTGGGGTGACAATAGCAAGGCCAAGACCCCCGGGGGCCGAGCACCCCCCAGATCCTGCAATGCTCTGGTTGGGGGGCTGCACCTGGCAGTCCCTGGTGGTGGGAGAGGCGTGGGGCAGTGGGACAGGTATAGCCATGATATTTTATGAAAAATCCTTTGCTAGGATTTTTCCCTCCTGGGAAGCTGAGGAGCCTCAGGAGAGAGATGTAAACAATAACTATTGTTACTGTGCATCTTCCATTGGTCCATGTGGATTGTTTTCAATTGACGACCAATCACAGCCACCTGTGCTGAGGTGCCAAAATTTTGTTATGCATTCTGTTCCTGTTCTTCCCAGCCTTCTGATGATCTTTTCCTCTCTATTCTTTTAGTGTCGTTTTAATGTAGTATTTTAATATAAAATACATCATAATATAATAAACCAACCTTCTAAAACATAGAATCAAGCCTCGTGTCTCCACATTAAGGTGTTCACAAGAGTGTGGGGCCATGCTTTCCCCAGGTTTGGGTGCCACTCTGCCCCCCCGGGCAGGGATGGGGACGGGGCACCTGTCTCACCTCCTGGAAGCGGCTCTTGGCGACCGTGACCCAGGATTTGATGGTGATGACGGAGTCAGGGTGGCAGGTGCTGAGGATCTCCTCCCCCAGCGAGGTGATGCACTCCAGCTCCAGCTGCTGGCACTGCAAGGACTGCATCAGCTCCTGGGGGGACACGGACGTGGCACTGTCAGCCCTCCAGACTGGGGCGGGGGTGCCCAAATCTCCCCACCTCAGGGCACTTGGGGCCTCAAACCCCGTGGTTTTGGTGTGGTGGGACCCAACATCCCAAACCTCTCAGTGGTGGCACCCAGCATGCCACGTCTTGCTCTGTGGGGATCCCACAGCCCAGCTGGGGCCGGCTGACCCCGGTGATGGAGGTGCTGGAGCAAAGCTGGAGCCAAAACCGGGGGGCTGGGGGGGCTGGCACCCACCTGCAGCTGGGCCTGGCACTCCTGCACGGCTGCCTCCTCCTCGGGGAACACTCCGTACTTGAGGGTCTTCTCCGACTCGGTCAGGCGCCCCAGGAAGGAGTGCACCAGCGTGTGGAACTCCTCCGCCTGCCACGACAGCGGGGACCCGCTCAGCGCCCACCCGGCACCCCCTGAGCCCCCTGAACCTCCTGGGCAGTCCCTGAGCCTTGCTGGGTGGGCAAGCCCCTGGCACGGGCGCCGTGCCCAGGGAAAGCTGCTGCCAAGCCCACGGCGGGAGCGAGGGGAGAGCCCGCACCCCGCTCTGCACGCGGGCAGGATTTCCTCTGACCCTCCCGGGCCACGCGGGCACGCTGCACACGCTCACGCCCGCAACAGGCACCCGCAGCAGGCAGCCTGGCACCCGGCCAGGGCAGCTTGCGACAGAACCGCACAGCCCCACGCAGCACCGCGCCCCGCGGAGAGCCCCAAACGGCACAGCCCCACGCCACACAGGCAGCCCGGAGCACTCCCAAACACGGCCACCCGCCAGTGAGCACCCCACGGAGAACCCCCCAAAACACGGCCACCCGCCAGTGAGCACCCCACAGAGAACTGCCCAAAACACGGCCACCCACCAGCAGACCACCTCCCAAAACACGGCCACCCACCAGCCGAGCACTCCCCAAAACACGGCCACCTGCCAGTGAGCACCCCCCAAAGCATGGCCACACACCATGCCTGGGCACCCCACGGAGAACCCCCCAAAACATGGCCACCCACCAGTGAGCACCCCACGGAGAACCCCCCAAAACACGGCCACCTACCAGCACAGCACCCCCCAAAGCACAGCCACCCACCATGCCTGGGCACCCCACAGAGCACCCCACAAAACACGGCCCCCCACCTGCTGAGCACCCCACAAAACACAGCCACCCACCACCTGAGCACCCCCCAAAACATGACCACCCACCACCCCACAGAACACCCCCCAAAACAAAGCCACCCACCATGCCTGGGCACCACCCTGGAAGTGCAGCCACCCACCAGCCAAGCACCCCATGGAGAACCCCCCAAAACACGGCCACCCACCGCCTGAGCACCCCCAAAATACGGCCACCCACTGCCTGAGCACCCCCCAAAACATGGCCACGCACCACACCTGGGCACCCCACAGAGCACCCCCCAAAACACGGCCACCCACCAGCTGAGCACCCCACACAGCATTCCCCAAAACACGGCCACCCACCAGCCAAGCACCCCCTGGAGCCCCCATTTTCCTGTTGCAGACCCCACCCCGGGGGTTCCCCTGGTGCCCCCCACGCCGGGGGCTCCCCGGCCGCCCCCCAGCCCTCACCTGCCGCAGCGCCGCCTCCAGCCGGGCCTGCTTGGACAGGGAGAGTTTGCAGACCAGGTCCCAGCGGGTGCTGAGCTCCTCCACCTGCCGCTGCAGCCACTGCGAGTCCACGCTGCTGCTGCCGCGCGTCAGGTCCCGCACCGAGCGCTTCAGCGTCTTGATGCAGCTGGCTCGCTTGCCCAGCTCCTTCTGGAACACCTGGCAGGTACGGCGGGACGGTGGGACAGGCACCCCACCGCTGGGCAGGGCTCCCCTGCACCCCAACCCCTTTAAAAACTGAGCACAGGGCTCCCCTGCACCCCAAACCCTCACAGCAGTGGGCACAGGGCTCCCCTGCACCCCAAACCGTTTAAAAACTGAGCACAGGGCTCCCCTGCACCCCAAACCCTTAAAAAAGTGAGCACAGGGCTTCCCCGCACTCCAAACCCTTAAAAAAGTGAGCACAGGGCTCCCCTGCACCCCAAATCCTCACAGCAGTGGGCACAGGGTTCCTCTGCACCCCAAAACCTCACAGCAGTGGGCATAGGGCTCCCCTGCACCCCAAACCCTTACAGCACTGGGCACAGGGTTCCTCTGCACCCCAAATCCTAACAGCAATGGGTACAGGGTTTCTGTGCACCCCAAACCCTCACAGCAGTGGGCACAGGGCTCCCCTGCACCCCAAACCCTCACAGCAGTGGTTATAGGGCTCTCCTGCACCCCAAACCCTCACAGCAGAGGGCACAGTGTTTCTGTGCACCCCAAACCCTCTCAGCAGTGGATATAGGGCTCCCCTGCACCCCAAACCCTTCTCGGCTCTGGGGCACACGACGCCCCAGTACCCAGTTTGAGGGGCACAAACTGGGGGTCAAGCAGGGGTCACCCCAGTGGGCAGTGCCCCGTCCTGCCCCAGAGGGAGGGCGGGCACAGCCCGGGGGGCCCTGCAGCCCCCACGCCACCCACCTTGTGCTTGTCCACGAGGTCCCCGACCAGGTCGCGGTCCCCTCCGACGGGCACGTCCTCGCTGAGCTGCGGCTCGGCGCGGTACAGCCAGTCCATGAGCGCCTGCAGCGCGTCCGTGAACTTGCCCGAGAAGAGCAGGTTCTCCTCCAGCTTGTGCTGCCTGCCAGGGGCACGGGGCGCGCTGAGACCCCCGGGGGCACCGCGGGGGCACCCCACGGAGCCGCCACACAGAGATGGCAGGGCCACCATGGACTGGGATGGGTCCGGGTAGTGCCATTATGGACTGGGACAGGTCCTGGCAGGGCCACCATGGACTGGGCTGGGTCCTGGCAGGGCCTCCATGGACTGGGATGGGTCCGGGTAGTGCCATTATGGACTGGGACAGGTCCTGGCAGGGCCACCATGGACTGGGCTGGGTCCTGGCAGGGCCTCCATGGACTGGGATGGGTCCGGGTAGTGCCATTATGGACTGGGACAGGTCCTGGCAGGGCCACCATGGACTGGGCTGGGTCCTGGCAGGGCCTCCATGGACTGGGATGGGTCCGGGTAGTGCCATTATGGACTGGGACAGGTCCTGGCAGGGCCACCATGGACTGGGCTGGGTCCTGGCAGGGCCTCCATGGACTGGGATGGGTCCGGGTAGTGCCATTATGGACTGGGACAGGTCCTGGCAGGGCCACCATGGACTGGGCTGGGTCCTGGCAGGGCCTCCATGGACTGGGATGGGTCCGGGTAGTGCCATTATGGACTGGGACAGGTCCTGGCAGGGCCACCATGGACTGGGCTGGGTCCTGGCAGGGCCTCCATGGACTGGGATGGGTCCGGGTAGTGCCATTATGGACTGGGACAGGTCCTGGCAGGGCCACCATGGACTGGGCTGGGTCCTGGCAGGGCCTCCATGGACTGGGATGGGTCCGGGTAGTGCCATTATGGACTGGGACAGGTCCTGGCAGGGCCACCATGGACTGGGCTGGGTCCTGGCAGGGCCTCCATGGACTGGGATGGGTCCGGGTAGTGCCATTATGGACTGGGACAGGTCCTGGCAGGGCCACCATGGACTGGGCTGGGTCCTGGCAGGGCCTCCATGGACTGGGATGGGTCCGGGTAGTGCCATTATGGACTGGGACAGGTCCTGGCAGGGCCACCATGGACTGGGATGGGTTCTGGTGGTGCCGTCATGGACGTGGATGGGTCCTGGCAGTGCCATTATGGACTGGGATGGGTCCTGGCAGGGCCACCATGGACTGGGATGGGTCCTGGCAGGGCCACCATGGACTGGGATGGGTCCTGGCAGCGCCATTATGGACTGGGTCAGGTCGTGGCAGGGCCATCATGAAGTGGGATGGGTCCTGGTAGTGCCATTATGGATTGGGATGGGTCCTTGCAGTGCCATTATGGAGAGGGACAGGTCCTGGCAGTGCCATTATGGACAGGAACAGGTCCTGGCACTGCCTGAGACCCACAGAGCGAGCAGAGAACAGACTGTGCCACCCCATACCATTTCCATCCCCATTCCCATCCCATCCCACCTGCATCCCCACCCCTTCCCCATCCCCTGCCCATTCCCATCTCCCTCCCACCTCACCCCCACCCCAGCGCAGTCCCTCCCGCGCCGTTCCCACCTCTCCGCGGCGTGGCTGCAGAGCGCATCCCAGCGTTCCTTCAGCTCCCCCAGCAGCTCCTCCAGCGGCTGCAGGTCCTGGGGCAGCCGCGCCCCTTCCCGCAGCGCCCGCCCGCTCCGCAGCGTCGCCTCGTACACCGGACGCTTTGCCCGCAGCACCTTCTGGAATGCCTGCAGGGGCCCCACAGGTGGGTGTTGGGCCCCCCCAGATGTGGGGGGAGACTCCCCTCTTCCCCAAGGGCTCTGGGGCAGTTGGGATCCCTTGGCCCAACACTCCCCCCCAGGTGTCCCAACGCTGCAGGATGGCCCTGGGTTGTTGCCCAACCATTCTGGCTCTGGGTGTTCCCCCTGGGAGCTGGGGATCCCCCCTCTGCAGCCCCCAGAAGTGCAGTTCTGCACCCCCTGTGCCAAGGAGCACAAGGGGCAGCCCCACCTTGTGCTCAGCCAGCTGGCACTTGATCTCCTCCTGGCTGGTGGCAGCGTCCTGCGGCACCTCCAGGCTCTGCTCCACCTCGTCCATCCAGTCCAGAAGCAGCCGCCGGGACTCGCTGAACTGCAGCGGAAGGGAGGCCCGTGGGGGCTGAGGGGGGCACGCAGGGGCAAAGCGGGTCTGGGGCCACCCAAACGGGAGCCATGGAGCCACACAAGGGAGCGGCACGGCCTGGCCACCACCACGGGGCAAACCACGGGCCAGTACAGCACAGTGACAACGCTGGAGCCGCGTGGTCCCTTCCTGGCACAGCTGCCAGCAGGACCCATGACATGGAAGCAACAGTCCCGGGATGGTTTGGGTTGGAAGGACCCATCCAGTTCCACCCCCCTGCCATGGGCACGGAGCCCACTAGCCCAGGGTGCTCCAAACCCCATCCAACCTGGCTTGGACACGTCCGAGGATGGGGCAGACACGGCTTCTTGGGGAAACCCCCCTCACAGGGAAGAATCCCCTCCCAAGATCCCATCCGTCCCTGCCCTCTGGCAGTGGGAAGCCATTCCCCCTTGTCCTGTCCCTCCAGGCCCCTGTCCACAGCCCACCAAGGGGCAGAGCCCCCTCCCCAGCCCGGGCTGTGTCCCGGTACCTGCTTGCTGCGTTTTCGGGCCTCCTCCAGCACCGCCCCCCTCTCTGCTGCCCGCTGCAGGACCTTGCCCAGCCGCTCCCGGGCCGCCAGCACCAGGTTCTGGATGACGGCCCCGTCCTGCTTCCGACTGAAATCCTTCAGGCGCGCGGCCACGGCCTCCAGGCCGCCCAGCTTCTCCCCGTGGGCGTTCGCCTCCTTCACCAGGGCCTGCAGGGAGGGGGCAGCTGAGTGAGGGTGGTCCTGGGGTGGGTGAGGAGCCCCCGGACACAACCTGTGCCAGGATGGGACGTGGAGCACCAGGCACGTGCTGGGACAGGGCGCAGAGCTGTCCGCTGCGGTGGGGACACATCGCCCTGTTCTTCTGAAGTTCTTCTAAGCCTTTACAAAAATGTTTGCATTTTTGTAATGGAGTGTCTCACGCACTCTTCACGTAAATAATGATTGTTTTGCGTCCCTTTCTGGAGGAGGAGAGAATTGATGGACTTTTGGTTTGACTAGTGTGGTTGAAGAGGTGGCAATTTCATCCTCCAGTCCATGGTCACTTTTGGAATTCTATAAATATTGAGCTCCGGAAATAAAGGCACCTTTTTTTTTGCCTGGGACACCTCAGCGTGCGAGTGTCGTTCATTCCGTGTCACATTGCGACAAGGACACACATGCCACTGGCCCCGGGCACCCTCCAGGTGCCACACAGCACCCCTCGGGCAGACCCCAGCTCCACGAACCGGCCCTGAGGGCACGGCGCCCGCTCTTGCCTTGTGCTCCTGGATCTGCGCGGTGACGGTGTCCAGGACGAAGCTGGGGGGCGCGGGGGACCCCAGCAGCTCCTCGGCGTGGGCCACCCAGCGCAGCAGCTCCTGCGCGGAGCCGTGGAACTCGGTGGTGACCGTCAGCCCCTCGGCCAGGCGCTCCTGAGCGGGGGACGGGCACCGGTGGGCACGGGCTCCCCTGCTCCTGACCCGGTCAGGGTGAGCCCCCCGGGGGTCGCAGCCCCCCACCACCCCGCACACCTTCCTCTCCTGGGCCTCGGCCTGGACGCTCTCCCACTTCTGCTCGAGGAGCCGCAGGCTGTGCTCGGTGCTGCAGGGCCGGCCGGCGCGGCACGAGTCCAGCAGGCGCTGCAGCCGCTCCCGCAGCCCCCGGTAGGAAACGGCCCGCGCCTCCAGCTCCCGGCACAGCTCCTGCCGGGACAGCGCGACGGCCGGGCACCGGCATCAGCAGCGGGACAGTGGGCAGGGCCAGGAGGGGACACGGAGTGGGATGGGGGAGGGATGAGGGTACGGATGGAGCAGGCAGGGTGACGGGTACAGGGATGGGAATGGGGCTGGGAACGGGGATGGGAATGGGGCTGGAAACAGATGGGAAGGGGGATGGGAATGGGGATGGGGATGGGAATGGGGGGATAGGGACAGGGATGGGGATGGGAACGGGAACAGTGATGGGGATGGGAAGGGGGACAGGGATGGGGATGTGGATGGGGCAGGCAGGGTGACAGGTACAGGGATGGGGATGGGAACGGGGCTGGGAATGGGGATGGGAACAGGAACAGGGATGGGAATGGGGATGGGAACAGAAACGGGAACAGGGATGGGAATGGGAACAGGAATGGGGATGAGAAGGGGGACAGGGATGGGGATGTGGAGGGGTCAGCTAAAGTAGACAGGGGACAGGGGTGGGAACAGACAGAGGAGGGATGGGGATGAGAAAGGGGACAGGGATGGGGATGTGGAGGGGTCAGCTAAAGTAGACAGGGGACAGGGGTGGGAACAGACAGAGGATGGGGACAAGGGAGACAGCAACAGTGAACAGGGAGAGGGGATGAAGACAGGGATGTGGATGGGGACAGGAACAGTTCCCGGGAAAGGGACAAGGACAAGGATGGCTCCTGCTCTGTCTTACAGAGCTGGAGCAGCTGAGGGAGGGGCACCAGGCTCTGCCTGGCTGCAGAGAAGAGGCAGCAGAGAAGGATCCTGGCCCAGCAGCGTGGGGAAGGGCAGATCTGGAGCACACGTCCCCCCAAGAGACCAACAGGTCTCTAGCAGGGCCCGGGCTAACGCTGGTTCTCACCAGGTGCGCGTTGAGCTTCTCTTTGGTGGCATCTGGGTGACCCCAGGCCGGCTTGGAGCAGAAGAGCTGCAGCTCCACCTGCTCCAGCCACTGCAGCAGCTCCGTGATCTCCAGCGTGATGTCCTGCACCTGGGGGAGAGGCGGGGCTCAGTGCCGGCCGGCAGCGCCCGGCAGCGCCGCGGTGCCGCGGCCGTACCTGGCTGAGGTTGTTCTCCAGCTCCAGCTGCCGGCTCTCGGTCTCGCTGCGCACCAGCTCCCAGTGCTGCTCCAGCTGCTGCAGGCTGCGCTGCAGCCCCTCCACGCTCTCGCCCAGGCTGGAGAGCAGCAGCCCCTGGCCAGCCTCGGTCACCGACTGCACCGTGCGGGCGTGGGACATCACGTCGGTGCGCAGCACCTGGGGACGGAGCAGAGCGGCGGGGTCATGGCTGGGGCAGGGGCACCCACGCCCCGCGTTCCTAAAGCCCCGCGCCCCGAGACAGCTCTGCTGCCCGCAGAACCGCTGCCACCACAGCCCTGGGGACTGGGGGTGCCACCCTGGGCAGGGATGGCACCCGTGGGTGCCTCCAAGGGGGTGCCAGGGCTCTTATCTCAGAATCACAGAACCACAGAATAATGAGGATGGAAGCTCTAAGATCATCGAGTCCAACCCATGCCCTAACACCTCAACTAGACTGTAGCACCAAGTGCCATGTCCAGCCTTTTTTTAAACACGTCCAGAGATGCTGGTTCTACCGCCTCCCTGGGAAGAGCATTCCAGTACTTTATTATTCTTTCAGTGACAATTTTTTCCTAATATCCAACCTATGGCTTCCCTGACGTAGCTGAGACTGTGTCCTCTGGTTCTGTCAGTGCTGCCCTGTGGAAGAGACAACCCCCAGCTGTCTGCAACCTCCCTTCAGGAAGTTGTAGAGAGCAATAAGGTCACCCCTGAGCCTCCTCTTCTCCAGGCTAAACAACCCCAGCTCCTTCAGACATTCCTCACAGGGCTTGTGTTCCCTCACCAGCCTCGTTGTCCTCCTCTGGACACACTCAAGCGTCTCAACATCCTTCCCAAACTGAGGGCCCAGAACTGGACACAGCACTCAAGGTGTGATCTCACCAGCGCGGGCACAGGGTGAAAATCAGGGTGCGGGGCAGGGCCGAGGGACAGGATTTGCCGACTCGTGGCAGCGGGGTGGCCGGGACAGGCGCACAGGGGACAGGTACCCTTTGCACGGCCCCCCCGGCCTGGGGACAGCCCGGCCCGCGCAGCCTCGCCCGCGTCAGGCACGTCAGGAGCGTGCCCAGGCAAGGGGCACTGGGACAGCTCATTCCTCCCGTGGTGTCACAGCGGGAGGGGACGCGTCCCTGTGCTGCAGCCTGCCCGGCCCTGCTGAGGCAGCACACGAGGAGGGGCCAGGCAGCACCCTGTGGCCAGGACACCCACCCTGGGGTGCCACCATGGCCAGGACCCCCAGCCTGGAGTGCCATCACAGCCAGGACACACACCCTGAGGGTGGCACCACGGCCAGGATACCTACCCTGGAGCACCAGCACAACCAGGACACCCATCCTGGGGGTGACACCATGGCCAGGACCCCCACCCTGGGGGTGCCACCAGGGCCAGGACACCCACCCTGGGGTGCCACCATGGCCAGGACACTCACCCTGGGGGTGCCACCATGGCCAGGATACCCACCCTGGGGTGCCACCATGGCCAGGACCCCCAGCCTCAGGGTGCCACCACAGCTGGGACACCCACCCTGGGGTGCCACCATGGCCAGGACCCCCAGCCTGGCGTGCCATCACAGCCAGGACACCCACCCTGGGGGTGCCACCATGGCCAGGACACCCACCCTGGGGTGCCACCACACCCAGGACACCCACCCTGAGGGTGGCACCACGGCCAGGACCCACCTTGGGGTGACCTGTGGCCAGGACCCCCAGCCTCAGGGTGCCACCACAGCTGGGACACCCACCTTGAGGTGACACCATGGCCAGGACACCCACCCTGGGGTGCCACCACAGCCAGGACACCCACCCTGCGGTGCCACCATGGCCAGGACACCCACCCTGGGGTGCCACCACAGCCAGGACACCCACCCTGCGGTGCCACCATGGCCAGGACACCCACCCTGGGGTGCCACCACAGCCAGGACACCCACCCTGCGGTGCCACCATGGCCAGGACACCCACCCTGGGGTGCCACCACAGCCAGGACACCCACCCTGCGGTGCCACCATGGCCAGGACACCCACCCTGGGGTGCCACCACAGCCAGGACACCCACCCTGCGGTGCCACCATGGCCAGGACACCCACCCTGGGGTGCCACCACAGCCAGGACACCCACCCTGCGGTGCCACCATGGCCAGGACACCCACCCTGGGGTGCCACCACAGCCAGGACACCCACCCTGCGGTGCCACCATGGCCAGGACACCCACCCTGGGGTGCCACCACAGCCAGGACACCCACCCTGCGGTGCCACCATGGCCAGGACACCCACCCTGGGGTGCCACCACAGCCAGGACACCCACCCTGCGGTGCCACCATGGCCAGGACACCCACCCTGGGGTGCCACCACAGCCAGGACACCCACCCTGCGGTGCCACCATGGCCAGGACACCCACCCTGGGGTGCCACCACAGCCAGGACACCCACCCTGCGGTGCCACCATGGCCAGGACACCCACACATAGCACAGCATGGTTTGGCGTGGCACAGCACAGCCCGGCACAGCATGGCCTGACACAGCACGGTTTGGTGCAGCACAGCACAGCACAGCATGGCCTGGAACAGCACAGTTTGGTGTGGCACAGCACAGTTTGGCATGGCACAGCACGGTTTGGTGCAGCACAGCACAGCCCGGCACGGCACAGCACAGTTTGGCGTGGCACACGGTTTGGTGCAGCACAACATGGTTTGGCGCGGCACAGCACGGCCCGGCGTGGCACAGCACGGTTTGGCGTGGCACAGCACGGTGCAGCACAGCACAGCACGGTTTGGCACGGCACACCACGGCCCAGCGCGGCACAGCACGGTACCTTGAGCTCCGCCAGCTGCTGCTGCACCATGTCCAGGTCCCCGCCCACCAGGAACTCCTCGGCGATGCGCAGCTCGGCGGCGTCCAGCCACTCCAGCAGCCGCTGGGGACAGGGAACACGCGGGGTTGGGGGGCCCCATGGTGGCCCCACGGTCCCTCAGACCCCTGAGCGGGGACAGGAGGGAGATTCCTCCGTGGGGGATCTGCCTGAGGGTCCCTGCACCCACCTGCATGGTGTCCTGGTAGCTGAGGGCGGCCTGGAGCTGCTCCTCGAGGTGCCCGTTCCGCTCCGTCCACACGCGGCTCAGGCTGTGCCAGGAGGAGTAGAGCTGCGGCCGGGCACGGGGGTCAGCGGTGGCACAGGGGGATGGGACATGGGGGACGGGATGGACAGGGCGCAGGGGGTCAGCAGTGCCCCGGGGGGACAGGGTGTAGGGGGCACTAGTGCCAGGGAGGTGGCCGGGGAACAGGGGTGGCACCACAGGGACACCCAGGCCTGGAGACACCACGGGAGTGCCGGGGCACAGGGGTGGCACCACAGGAACACCCAGGTCTGGAGACACCACGGGAGTGCCGGGGCACAGGGGTGGCACCACAGTGACACCCAGGCCTGGAGACACCACGGGAATGCCGGGGCACAGGGGTGGCACCACAGGGACACCCAGGCACCGGGGGCAGCCCAGGGCACTGCCCATAACGAGAGCTGCCCAGGGCACTGCCCACACCGGGGGCTGCCCGTGCCAGGGCACTGCCCATAACGAGAGCTGCCCAGGGCACTGCCCACACCGGGGGCAGCCCAGGGCACTGCCCACATTGGGAGCTGCCCAGGGCACTGCCCATACCGGGAGCTGCCCGTGCCATGGCACTGCCCACACCAGAGGCTGCCCAGGGCACTGCCCACACCGGGGGCTGCCCGTGCCATGGCACTGCCCACACCGGGGGCAGCCCAGGGCACTGCCCACATTGGGGGCAGCCCAGGGCACTGCCCACATTGGGGGCAGCCCAGGGCACTGCCCACACCGGGGGCGGCTGTGCCATGGTACTGCCCACCAAGCCCCTGCCCTGTCACACCCAGGACACCCACCCTGGGGTACCACCACGGCCAGGACCCCCAGGACACACCCACCCTGGCAGTGTGACTGTGGCTGTGACCACGTGTCCCCCGGGCCCCCGTGCAGCCTCACCTTGTGCTTGGCCAGCTCGATCTCGCAGCTCTGCAGGTCGGGCCGCAGGGGCGCGGGGCCGCGCAGCTGCTCCCCGGTGCGGCTCAGCCACTGCAGCAGCTCGGCCAGCTGGTGCTGGAACTGCCCCAGCCCCAGCAGCGCCGCCTCCAGCTGGTGCTGCCGGGGGGGAGACGCGGTGTCGGGGGAAGAAAGGGCAGTGCACACGGCCCTGGGCACCCACAGAGCACCCGGCACCCACCCAGTGCCCACCCGGTGCCCACACGGCCCTGGGCACCCACAGAGCACACGGCACCCACAGAGCACCCACCCGGTGCCCATCGAGTGCCCACACGGCCCTGGGCACCCACAGAGCACACGGCACCCACAGAGCACCCACCCGGTGCCCATCGAGTGCCCACACGGCCCTGGGCACCCACAGAGCACACGGCACCCACCCGGTGCCCACCCAGTGACCACACAGCCCTGGGCACCCACAGAGCACACGGCACCCACCCGGTGCCCACCCGGTGCCCACACGGCCCTGGGCACCCACAGAGCACACGGCACCCATCCGGTGTCCACCCAGCCCTGTGCACCCACCCAGTGCCCACCGAGTGCCCACCCAGCCCCGGGCACCCACAGAGCACCTGGCACCCACCCAGTGCCCACCGAGTGCCCACATGGCCCTGGGCATCCATCCAGTGCCCACCCAGTGCCCACACAGCCCCGGGCACCCACCCAGTGCCCACCCAGTGCTGTGCACCTACCCACTGCCCACTCGGTGCCCACCCAGTGCCCACCCAGTATCCACACAGCCCTGGGCACCCACCCACTGCCCAACCAGTGACCACACGGCCCTGGGCACCCACAGAGCCCCTGGCACCCACCCAGTGCCCACCCACTGCCCACCCAGCATCCACCCAGTCCTGTGCACCCACCCCACTGCCTACTCAGTGCCCACACAGCCCCGGGCACCCACCCAGTGCCCACCCAGTGCCCAGTCAGTGCCCACACAGCCCCGGGCACCCACCCAGTGCCCACCCAGCGCTGTGCACCCACCCACTGCCCACTCGGTGCCCACACAGAGCCCACACAGCCCCGGGCAACCATCTGGTGCCTACCCAGTGTCCAACCAGGGACCACATGGCCCTGCACACCCACCCAGTGCCCACCCAGTGCCCACTTGGAACCCCCCACGCTGACCCAGCACCACAGGACGTGCCCACCCAGCACATTCATGGCACCCCACCTGTCCTGCCAGCCCTGCCCTGTGCCCCCCGTGCCCCCTCCCCACCTGCCGGCTGACGATCTCCTCCTCCAGGTGGTCCCAGCGCTGGCGGAAGTCGCTGAGCGCGGCTGGGGGGTTCCCCTGCCCCGCGCCCCCCTGGTGCCGCAGGCTCTCCACATCCACCTTGCACTGGTACAGCTCCCGCTTGAACTCCTGCGAGGTGGCACAGGGTCTGCCTGATGCCAGGGCACGGCACAGGCACCTGGGCCCTGACCTGCTCCTGGGGGGGTGCCCAATCCCCCCAGGGACTCGTGGGGACAGGGCTGGGCCATGCCAGGCAGGACTTGGCTACCCAGAGCACTGGGGCACTGGCACTGTCCAACCCGCCATCCCAATCCATCCCACCTCTGCCTGGAGCTCCCGCTGCCCTCCCTGCCCCTGCCAGCCGCTGGGGATCAGGGCATGGCATGGCACAGCACTGCCTGGCACAGCACTGTCTGGCACAGCACTGCCTGGCACAGCACGGTTTGGTGCGGCACAGCACAGTTTGGCGTGGCACAGCACAGCCCGGCGTGGCACGGCATGGTTTGGCATAGCACAGCATGGTTTGGTGCGGCACGGCATGGTTTGGTGCGGCACGGCATGGTTTGGCATAGCACGGCATGGTTTGGCATGGCACGGCATGGTTTGGTGCGGCACGGCATGGTTTGGCATAGCACGGCATGGTTTGGCATGGCACGGCATGGTTTGGTGCGGCACAGCATGGTTTGGCGTGGCACAGCACAGCCCGGCACAGCATGGCCTGACACAGCACGGTTTGGTGCAGCACAGCACAGCCCGGCACGGCACAGCACAGTTTGGCGTGGCACACGGTTTGGTGCAGCACAACATGGTTTGGCGCGGCACAGCACGGCCCGGCGTGGCACAGCATGGTTTGGCATAGCACAGCACGGTTTGGTGCAGCACAACATGGTTTGGCGCGGCACAGCACAGCCCGGCGTGGCACAGCACGGTTTGGCGTGGCACAGCACGGTGCAGCACAGCACAGCACGGTTTGGCACGGCACACCACGGCCCAGCACGGCACAGCACGGTACCTTGAGCTCCGCCAGCTGCTGCTGCACCATGTCCAGGTCCCCGCCCACCAGGAACTCCTCGGCGATGCGCAGCTCGGCGGCGTCCAGCCACTCCAGCAGCCGCTGGGGACAGGGAACACGCGGGGTTGGGGGGCCCCATGGTGGCCCCACGGTCCCTCAGACCCCTGAGCGGGGACAGGAGGGAGATTCCTCCGTGGGGGATCTGCCTGAGGGTCCCCGCACCCACCTGCATGGTGTCCTGGTAGCTGAGGGCGGCCTGGAGCTGCTCCTCGAGGCGCCCGTTCCGCTCCGTCCACACGCGGCTCAGGCTGTGCCAGGAGGAGTAGAGCTGCGGCCGGGCACGGGGGTCAGCGGTGGCACAGGGGGATGGGACATGGGGGACGGGATGGACAGGGCGCAGGGGGTCAGCAGTGCCCCGGGGGGACAGGGTGTGGGGGGCACTAGTGCCAGGGAGGTGGCCGGGGAACAGAGGTGGCACCACAGGGACACCCAGGCCTGGAGACACCACGGGAGTGCCGGGGCACAGGGGTGGCACCACAGGGACACCCAGGCCTGGAGACACCACGGGAGTGCCGGGGCACAGGGGTGGCACCACAGTGACACCCAGGCCTGGAGACACCACGGGAATGCCGGGGCACAGGGGTGGCACCACAGGGACACCCAGGTCTGGAGACACCACGGGAGTGCCAGGGCACAGGGGTGGCACCACAGGGACACCCAGGCCTGGAGACACCACGGGAGTGCCGGGGCACAGGGGTGGCACCACAGGGACACCCAGGCCTGGAGACACCACAGGAGTGCCAGGGCACAGGAGTTGCGTGGGGGTCAGTGGGGGTCTGGGATGCTGAGGATCGGGGACACGCCACCCCCACAAGCAGCATCCCCACACCCCCAGGACACGTCCCTCCCTGAACGCAGCCTCAAGGACACTCACATCGTCCAGGCTCTTGGTGACATCGGGCTTGTCGGGGTCCCCGCAGGATGCCATCAGCTCCACGCCCAGGCTGCCCAGCGTGTCCAGCTCACCCTGCAGCGCGTCGATCTCCTCCCGCAGAGCCTGTGCAGGGCACGGGGCTCAGGGCTGCCCACACCGGGGGCTGCCCAGGGTACTGCCCACACTGGGGGCTCCCCGTGCCATGGCACTGCCCACACCAGAGGCTGCCCAGGGCACTGCCCACACCAAGGGCTGCCCAGGGCACTGCCCACACCGGGGGCAGCCCAGGGCACTGCCCACACTGGGAGCTGCCCAGGGCACTGCCCACACCGGGGGCTGCCCGTGCCAGGGCACTGCCCACAACGGGAGTTGCCCAGGGCACTGCCCACACTGGGGGCTGCCCATGCCAGGGCACTGCCCACACCGGGGGCTGCCCAGGGCACTGCCCACACCGGGGGCTGCCCAGGGCACTGCCCACACCGGGGGCTGCCCGTGCCAGGGCACTGCCCATAACGAGAGCTGCCCAGGGCACTGCCCACACCAGGGGCAGCCCGTGCCATGGCACTGCCCACAACGGGAGCTGCCCAGGGCACTGCCCACACCGGGGGCAGCCCAGGGCACTGCCCACATTGGGAGCTGCCCAGGGCACTGCCCACACCGGGGGCTGCCCGTGCCATGGCACTGCCCACACCGGGGGCAGCCCAGGGCACTGCCCACATTGGGAGCTGCCCAGGGCACTGCCCACACCGGGAGCTGCCCGTGCCATGGCACTGCCCACACCGGGGGCTGCCCAGGGCACTGCCCACACCGGGGGCAGCCCAGGGCACTGCCCACACCAGGGGCTGCCCAGGGCACTGCTCACATTGGGAGCTGCCCAGGGCACTGCCCACACCAGCGGCTGCCTGTGCCACGGTACTGCCCACCAAGCCCCTGCCCTGCCGTACCTGCATGGTGCGCAGCCGGGTGCGGATGGCCTCGGGCTCGCCACCGGTCTCCTCCAGCCCCAGCACCAGCTGCTGGGTGTCGCTGAGCGCCACGGCCAGCTCAGACAAGCCATGCCAGAAGCGCTCGGCCAGTGCCAGCAGCTCCCGAAGCCACCGCTCCTGCTCCTGGCAGCGGCCGCGCAGGCAGCCCCACTGTGACAGCAGCTGCGCCGTGCGCTCCTGGATCCCTGCGGGGCACAGCGGGTCAGGGATCGGGGTGCTGCGAGGTCCCCAGCAGCCACACACGGCCCTGAGACAGGGACACGGATCGCCTGCCGGCCGTGTTGTGCCCACCCCTCCGTGCCGGTACCTCTGTCCGCGGCGTCGGAGCTGACCGCCTGCACGGTGGCCAGCAGCTCCTCGCCCTGTGCACGGATGCCCTCCAGGGCCACCCCGAGCTTCTCCAGCTCGCCCAGGGCCAGGCTGTTCTCCCGGATCTGCTCCCTCAAGTGGGCCGCGTCGCCGCGGACAGGGGGCTGGCTCTGCAGCCGGCTCTGCAGCCGCTCCAGGCACTCCAGCAGCAGATCCATGCGCTCCGACAGCTGCGGACCAGCCCGGTGACTCGACGGTACGGCCCCGGGGACGCTCCCCACCAGGGCAGTGCCAGCCCCATACCTGGCTGTATCGCGGCAGGGCATCCTCCAGCAGAGCCGCTGCCTGGCGCACGCGCTCGCGGATGTGGCCGTACTGCTCCTCCACCTCCTGCCAGCGCCGCTGGAACGGGGCTCCCTGCTCCGGGCTCAGCTCCAGCAGCTGTGCTGACACGCGCTGCAGCTTCCCCACCAGCGGCCGGTGCTCGGCGATGGCCTCCCGCAGGCTCTGGCAGCGGGGAAGAGCCGTGGGGGTGGATTGGGGTGGGATGTGCCCCCTGGGATTCACCCCACAGGGTGCACCTGGTGCTGCTCCCAGAGGACTGTTCGCTGGGTGTCCCCACAGCGGTGCCACCCCCATCCTGTCACCTCTCCACTCCCACCCTGTGGGGTGGCCGAGCGAGTCCCTTTTGCCCGTGCCCTGCCCACACCTGCAGCAGCGCCTGCTGCTCCTTGAAGGCCTCGTAGCTGATGGCGTTGGGTGAGAGCTGCACCCCCAGGGCCTGCGTCTCCTCCAGCCAGGGCAGCAGCTCCTCGAGGGCCTCGGAGAACTGGGTGAGCAGGGACTGGGCGTGCTCCAGCTGCACGGCACAGGCGCCGCTGCGCAGGGACAGTTGCTCCGTGCGCTCCCGCAGTGCCTGCACTGATGGCTGCGGAGACAGGGAGTGACTGCATGGCCAGGGACACAGGGCACAGCCATCCCTGGGTGCTGGCAGTGTCCCCCTGGCACCCTCCCAGCTCACCTGAAGGCGCTGCTGCAGGGGCTCAGGGCAGCAGCGCAGCAGCGGCTCCGAGAACCCCAGCAGACGCTCAACCAGGCCGCGGCAATGCAGGATCTCGGCGGAGAGCAGCTGGAATGGAGCCGCAGGTGGGTGCCAGGTCCTGGCAGGAGCCGGCAGGATGGGGATGCCAAGCCAGTGCCCCCGGGACCCCTGTGCACCGCTGCAGACTCACCTTCTGCTCAGAGAGCTGCGAGTGGAGAGCCTCAGCGTCCAGCTGCACGCGGCCGATCTCCTCCAGCCGCTCACCCAGCCCAGCCACACGGCTCAGCTGGGACTCCAGGACCTGCTCAAACTGCAGCAGAGGGACAGACGTCAGCCAGGGAGGGTGTGAATGCACCAGGACCAATGCTGGGAATGGCGAGGGGCTCAGGGAGCCCAGTGTCCCACACCTTCTCCCTGTCACTGGCAGTGACTGAGGGCTCCTGGCCATCCTGCTGGCTCTCCCGCTCGCCCAACTCCTTCTCCATGCGGCTCAGCCACAGTGCCAGGTCCTCAGGGGCCGTGCCCAGGCGAGACGAGGCCTCCAGGGTCTGCCCCAGCCGGTGAGCGGTGTCAGCACTGCTCTGGCCCGCGATGAGGTACCGCATCCTCAGTGACTCCATCTTCTCCTGCGTCAGCTGGGCCTCCTCCCCTGTGGCAGTGTGACACCGCCATCAGTGCCACCGCACTGGCACCCCTGGACATGGAACTGGCCACACCGACAGCTTCCAGCCACGTGACAATCACTCTGTCCTGACCTTTCCCCTCCCCTACCCCTGCTCCTCCTGCTCCCAGACCCAGCTCTGGCCTCATCCCTCTGCCAGCAAGACCCACCTCGCCACTGAACCCTGTCCCACCACAGCTCTGACCCACAGGCTCTGCCCTGTCCTTTCTGCATCCCCTGGGATGCTCTCTGCCCCCTCTCACCACGCCACGGCTCCCGGTGGGGAGCAGCACACCCCAAAGACCCCCAGTGCCCAGGGGCCCCCTTGCTGGCCTGGGTTGCTGCTGTCTGTGCTCATCCCATCCCAATTCCCATGTCCTGACCCTGCGGCCATCACTCCCAGCCATTGCCACTCGCCTGTCACCAGCTCCAGGACGCGCTGCCCGCTCTCCAGGGCGCCATCCAGCTCTCCCAGCCGCCCACGGATCTCCTCACAGAGGGCCTGCAGCAGTGACCAGTGATGACACAGGCGTCCGTGTCCACCCTGTGCCCACTCCGCGCCCAACCTGTGCCCACCTGGGTCTGCTGGTGGGCATCCTGCACGCGGCCAACACAGCCGTCAGCACGCCAGAGCTGGGCCAGCTGCCGCTCTGTGGCACTGAGCCACTCCTGGAAGGCGTCTACGGCCTCCTGGAAGCCCTGGGCTGCCGGCAGGATCCGCTCCAGGCAGCCGTACCTGCGTCGGGAGGGCTGGGTGAGCTGGGCAGTGACAGTCTCCAGGCCAGCAAAGCCCCCTCTCCCCCACACCCAGGGTGCCCATGCCCTGTGCTGCCCTGAAGTGAGGGACACAGCAAGGCCAGTGTCCCCACAGAGGGGCCAGTGTCCCCACAGAAGGGGCCAGTGACAGATTGTCCATACAGCCCTGGAGCCGCTGCTCCTGTGCAGCCCCAGCACACGTGGTGGGGACAGTTCCTCCATCGTGGTGGCCCCAGGGCCAGTGGGGCAAAGCACAGGGACATCAGGGTGTCACAGACGCCGTGTGGGGGACACCAGAGGGCAGAGCCTGTGCCAGCAGGATGGGGATGCAGTCCAGGGATGAGGGCCTGGCCCCTGACCCACCTGGCTTCAGCCTCCTGCATCAGCTTGTCCCACCTCTCCCCGAGGCTGAAGAGGTCGGCACTGCCCTCGGCTGTGCCCGAGCCCTGTGCCGTCAGTCTGTCCTGCAGGACGAGCTCCACACGCGGCCTCCGTTCCTCCAGCAGGCGCTTCAGGAGCTGCAGGGACAGGGGACACCACGCTGGGGACTCCTGTGCACCCCTCCCACCTCGGCACAGCCTGCTCCAACCCCCTAATCCCCGCACGGGGCACGCGTGGGTGGGACACGCCGGCTGGCCCTGCTGACCTTCTGCTCCTCCAGCTGCGCCTTCACCACCTTCGCCTCCGCCGACGGCGGCTTCTGGTTGCTCACCAACTCCTCCATGTCGGCCACCCAGGCCAGCAGCCGCTCCAGCGTCTCCTGGCCCCGCTCCGCTGCCTCCTCTGGGACAGGGACAGCCCGTGAGGACACCTGTGGGGAGAGGTGGCTGAGCCGCCCGTGTGGGCAGGTGGAGGGCAGCCATGGGGCTGGGCAGCAGTCCCCACACCATGCCCTCTCCCCGAGGTGACACTGGTGACAGTGGGACCCTGTCCAGCCCGTGGGGTCCTCCCTGGCGTTCTTTGCAGGGCTCCCCAAAGCACAAGGGGCTGCACACCCGGTGTGGTTTGGATCCCTCCGGACCCATGGCCCCTCCAGGCAGAGCTGAGGGAGGGAGCTCCCTGTCCTACAGCACCAGGCTGGGCGCCCAGCAGGAGCGGTGCCAGCGGCCCAGCCCACACCAGGGCACAGACAGCGACTCCACACGAGCCCAAGGTCAAGACTCGCTGTGGAGAAAACCACGCTGGAGGGCAGCCCTGCGGCACAGGGCTTGGCACAGTGTCCTCCCAGCAAGGCTCTCTGTCCGTCAGTCACCTCGGTGGCGTCCGTGTGTCCGGCGCAGCCAGCAGCAGTGAGCTCCCCCACGCACTCCGTCAGCACGGTGACCGTCCGGGTGACCACGGGCTCGCCACCCTTCTCACCCGCCGGGTACTCGGTCACCTCCACGATCTCCGTCACGATGGTCTCGGTCACCTCCGTCACCTCCGTCACCTCCCGGGTGGTGACGGGTTTCCAGGACCAGGTGCTGCGGGGAACGCTGGCCCGGGGGGGCGTCCAGGCTGCGCCCCCCACCTGCCCCCTCACCGCAGCTGCACCCCCGTTCTGCACCGCCACCTCGGACTGGCTGCGCCTCAGCACCGGGCTGCCCGGCCGGCTCCGCGCGGCAGCGGGCACCGGGCTCCAGCCATTCTCCACCGGCACCGGTGCCTTCTCCAGCAGCTCGGGCCAGGCCTCCGTGACGCCTCCGGCGGATGGCTGCCCCGCGTCCAGCCCCGGCTCCCGCAGGAGCTCCTCCGGCCGCCGGCTCTTCTCGCCCAGGCAGCTGGGCCGACTCACCGAGTTCCCCATGGCGCGGGCGCCGGGCCCCCGCCTCAAATCCCGGCCTGCAATGAGCCAGGGGATGCGCGTTATTAGCGGGGCCACCGCGGGACCCCCAGATGCCGCCGGCCTGTGCTCGGCTCGACCACCTCACTCCACGGCGCTGCCTGACCTCGCGCTCCGGTCTTGGGGGTCCTGGCCCCCCGGCAAAGGGCTGCCAAAAGCCAGGGTACCGGGACAGCGAGATGGGACACTGGCCGTCACCGGGGCCTGGCGGAGGGAGGGGACCCCGAGGGACCCCCGGCAGTGCCCAGGGTGCCTGTCTCGGCAGAGGACGCGGCAGTGGCAGCAGCGCCAGGCGCTGGGGAGAGGCAGATGCTCCCGCCCGGCATCGCCCTGCGCCGTTGGATTAACGAGGAGCCGCCAGAGAGGAGCATCTGCCCGGGGGGACGGGGGGCTGGGGGCACCAAGCGGGGGACAGGCAGGTGGCCTCCCCAGCCTGCCAGCCCTGCCGCAGCCATAAATCCCCGGCGTGACCCGGCAAGACCCTCCCCCGGCAGCCCCCCCCCCGCAGCCGCCGGGCTGCNACCCCCGGCGTGCCCCGGCAAGCCCCCCCCCCGGCACCCCCCCCGCCGCAGCCGCAGTGCTGCTACCCCCGGCCTCACCCCCGGCCCTGGGCACACGCCCCTGTGCACGTGTGTACACACAAACACACGTGTGCAAACACACGCACACGCCACACACGTGTGCAAACACACGCACACACCCCACACGCGCGCACACACTCACTCCCACCCGTGTGCACACACCCCCCCACAGGCACACCCCACGCTCGCACCCCCGCTCGGGGTGGGGGGGGATCAGCGGCAGGACCCCCACGCCTGCATCAGCCGTGACACCAAACGCACCTGTAGCAGCCCCGCACACGCGTGGGGAGCACGCACCCACCGTGGCCGTGCCCCTGGCGTGGGTACCGGGCTCCCGTGGGTACCCTGAGCCCCCCCGCTCGGCCCAACACGCCGTGGGGCACGCCGCGGGCACGACCCCCGTGCGCGGTCACGCCACACGCACCCACGGGGGGGTCCCGACGCGCCACCCCGGTGGGTGCAGCCCCGCGGGGCATCGCGCTCCCACCCCACCGCGACCCCCCCCACACCCCTCCGCGTGTCTGGGGGCTGCGCGGGTGGGTGGGCCAAGGCGCGGGGTGACCTGGGGAGACCCCAACCCGCGGCACCCGCCCCGTGGGGCTGCGGGACACGGACCCCACCCGGCCCCGCGCACGCCGCAGCCCCGGAGCCGCGCGGAGCCCCCGCCCCGCACTCACCCCTCGGCGACTTCGGGCGTCCATGGGGCCGGGCCGGGGGCGCCGCCGCCGCCGTTACCGCTCCGGGGGGGCCCGGCCTGTGCGGGGGAGCGGGGCGGAGGCAGCGGGGGGAGACTCGGTCCCCGTTACCGCCGCCCCGGCCCCGCCGCCTTTGTGCGCCGCGCCCGCGGCACGGGGGGAGCGCGGGGGGCACCGGGCGGAGAGCCTCGCACCGGCAGCGGCCCGGCTCAGCGGGGCTGGTGTGACCCCGGGCACACCGCCGCCCCCCGTTAACCCTCCGGGAGCCGATCGCCGCCGTTACCGGGGAAACCCCCGGGGCCCCGCAGCCATCCCGCGGGGGAGGGGCGGTGCCGGCCCACCGCCCGCCCCGCGCCGCCCGGGGGGGCGACTGCCCGCACCTCGCACTGGCCCCGGCACCTGTACCGACACCAGCACCGCCACCGGCACCGGCACTAACACCGGCACCTGGTCCGGCACCGCGCTCTCACCGGCACCTGCTGCTGCCCCCGCGCCGGCACCGGCACCTGCTCCGGTACCGGCAACCACACCGGCACCGGCACCTGCGCCGGAACCAGCCCAGGCTGTGCTGCCTCACACGGAGCCCCAGGACAGCACAGCCCCACGGTGTCACAGCCCCACGGTGTCACAGCCCCACGGCCCCTCCCGCTGGGGTTGCAGCCCCCACCCTGGCTCTGGCCCCCCAGGCAGCGGCTGCTGTGGTCACTGAGGGGCTTGGCCCCGCTCCCTGGGGCTGTTTGGGTGCGGGGACCCCTCAGTCAGGGGCCCGGGGGGCTCAGCGGAGCAGGGCTGGGCTGGGCTGGGTTTGAGGGGGAGCACGCCGGGCTGCTAAGATGCTAAACTGAAGCTCACCCTGAGAGGCAGGGTGCTGCGGGCCTGGGTCTCCAGAACCCCCATCGCTGCCACCCTGGGTGCTCGAGGGACCAGGGGGCAGCCGGAGGTGCCCAGCCGGGGGCTGCTCCTGCCCGTGGTGTGAGCCCCATCCCCATCCTGCCCTGGCTCAGCCTCCCAGCCACTGAGAGCCCCCCAGGACTGGATCCTGCCCCACAGAGCCGCATGGGTGCCCCTTGCTGGGCCCCGGGAGCCGGGGGGCCGCTGCGGGCGCGTCGGCCACGCTGATGGATGGGGCTCCCTGGGGTCTCCTGGGAGCGGCGGGCGGCGGGGCCGGGGGCTTTGTCTGCTGCCAGAGACGCTGCTGGGAATTAGCATCTGCCAGGGCCTCGGTGGCTCCGCACCGTCCTGCAGCCGCTCGGCATCCTGCTCCCCACACGGCTCTGGAGCCTTCCGCTGCTGGCACCGAGGTGCTGGGCACCCAGCGGGCTCTGAGCCCCGCGGCACTCCAGGCACCCCACAGCGCCCAGCCGGGACCCGCTGGGCAGGAGCTGGGCAGGGGGTGAGGATCCAGCTCTTCCCTCAGAGCCACCTCCGTCCCACACGCCCGCCGGCAGCTCGCCCGGCACGCTCCGCAGCCCCAGGTACCGGGCTCGGGGTGGCACGGGTGCCCCGGGCAGGGGAGCCCGGCGCGGGGCACCGGGCGGGAGCGGTCGGCTGGAATCCACAGCCTCAGATCCCGGGAGCCGGGTGGGTTTCTGTGCGGCCTCGGCTTTGTCTGCGCCGGGGCCGCGATGAATGGCCCTTTCAGTTTGTGCCGTCATGTGTGCCGAGGGAGCCCGTGTGCCGGCCAGGCCTGGAACAAAAGGAGCCGGCGAGGGGCGGCGAGGAGGGGGCTGCAGGCAGCCCCCACTGCGCTGCTCCCGCTGCGGCTCCAAGCCTGGGCAGGGGGCACGGCAGCACACGGCTGCGCGGCCAGTGCGGGGCACACACCCGCCCTGCCCTGGTAAGGGCACACCTCCTGTGCCCGGCTGTACACCCCGTGCAGACCATCACACCCCTGTGCCCGGCTGTACACCCCTCACACAGCATCACACCCCTGTGCCCGGCTGTACACCCCGTACAGAACATCACACCCCTGTGCCCGGCTGTACACCCCTCACACAGCATCACACCCCTGTGCCCAGCTGTACACCCTGTGCACAGCCACACACCCCTGTGCACAGCTGTACACCCCCTGTGCCCAGCTGGACACCCCCTGTGCCCGACTGTACACCCTCTGTGCCTGGCTGCACACCCCTCACACAGCTTCACACCCCCTGTGCCTGGCTGTACACCCCTGTGTACCCAGCTGAACACCCCTCACACAGCCACACACCCCCTGTGCACACCTGTACACCCCCTGTGCCCAGCTGGACACCCCCTGTGCCCGACTGTACACCCTCTGTGCCTGGCTGCACACCCCTCACACAGCTTCACACCCCCTGTGCCTGGCTGTACCCCCTCTGTGCCCGGCTGTACACCCCTCACACAGCATCACACCTCCTGTGCTTGGCTGTACACCCCGTGCACAGCATCACACCCCTGTGCCCGGCTGTACACCCTCTGTGTCTGGCTGTACACCCCTCACACAGCATCACACCCTCTGTGCCTGGCTGTACACCCCGTGCAGACCATCACACCCCTGTGCCCGGCTGTACACCCTCTCTGTCTGGCTGTACACCCCTCACACAGCATCACACCCCCTGTGCCTGGCTGTACACCCTGTGCACAGCATCACACCCCTGTGCCCAGCAGTACACCCTCTATGCCTGGCTGTACACCCCTCTCACAGCATCACACCCCTGTGCCTGGCTGTACATCCTCTGTTCCTGGCTGTACACCCCCTGTGCCCGGCTGTACACCCCTCACACAGCATCACACCCCTGTGCCTGGCTGTACACCCTCTGTGCCTGGCTGTACACCCCGTGCAGACCATCACACTCCTGTGCCCGGCTGTATACCCTCTGTGCCTGGCTGTACACCCCTCACACAGCATCACACCCCTGTGCCCGGCTGTACATCCTCTCTGCCTGGCTGTACACCCTCTGTGCCAGGCTGTACACCCCTCACACCGACACACACCCTCTGTGCCCGGCTGTACACCCCTCACACAGCATCACACCCCTGTGCCTGGCTGTACACCCCCTGTGCCCGGCTGTACACCCCTCACACAGCATCACACCCCTGTGCCTGGCTGTTGTGCATACCCCCAAACCCCTGTGCCCAGCTGTACACCCCCTGTTGCCTGGCTGTACACCCCCTGTGCTCGGCTGTACACCCCGTGCTCGGCTGTACACCCCTGGTGTTTGGCCACTGTCCCCGTGCCCAGGTGACAGTGCCACGAGCTGCAGCTGGACCCGGTGCAGGTGGTGGCCCTGTGGCCAGCAGGGCTCCAAGGCAGTGGTACCCTGAGTACCGCCAGGGCCATGGGGCTCCAAGCCAGCAGCTTGGAGAGAGGGAGCCAGCAGGTGGTGGCCCTGTGGCCAGCAGGGCTCCAAGGCAGTGGTACCCTGAGTACCGCCAGGGCCATGGGGCTCCAAGCCAGCAGCACCCCTGGGCTGGGGAGAGGGAGCCGGGCACAGGAGACCTGACCCCGGAGAGCTGCAGGGCTGTGCTGAAGGGTGTCCCAGCCACCTGTGGCCAGATGCCTTCCTCCCTTGCAAGGACCAAGACCTCACCAGCCTCGGTGCAGACGTGGGCTGGTCCTGCCCGGCTCTGCACGGCCCAGTCACCACCCAGGGCCGGACGTTACCTGCAGGGCCGTGCCGGGCTCTGGCAGCGCCAGCAGCCGCTTCTCTACGGCGTCCAGCCAGTGCCGCAGGGCAAGCAGCTGCTCCTGCACCTCCAGCCTCTGCTCGGACCGCAGACAGGCTCTGGGGAGAGAGCAGAGACACACCAGGCTGTGGGGGACACGGCTGCTGTCCCCGCCTGCCCGCACCGCCCCGAACTCCGGGCTTGCTGCCCACCTGCACCGCGTGTGTCACAGCCACACCTGCGCTCACGGCTGTGCTCGCTGCCACACAGCCAGCCCACTCCCTCCCCACCCCAGACTGCCATGAAGGGTTCAGCAGCTCCCCCGGCAGGGTGCGGACACCCGGGCACGTCCGCAGCTCCTGACACGGCCCGTCTGGCAGCGCCCAGCGGTGGCCGTACCTCTCCATCTCCTCCCTGCCCCATGGTGACCTCTCCACGCCATCTCCGGTGAGCCCGGCGTCTCCCGCAGCGCCGCGCACCTGCAGGGAGAGCAGAGGGACGGTGGGCACAGCACACCAGCTCCTGGCACAGGGGCGGGGGACACGGCTCCACAGTGCGGAGTTTGGAGCGTTGCTGTGTCTCCCCAGGGACAGCCCATCCCCGCCAGCTGGGACAGAGCTCCCCTGGCCAGGATCCCCCCTCTGTCCTGTGCTCTGGCCATCACCAGGACCTGCAGGTTTGGGCTTGGCTCCAGCTCCTCTGCATTCCTGCGGTACACCTCAATTTCCCAACCTTTTTCAGCTGGGATCACTCCCAGATGTCACCCTGCTGCCTCTGGTGCCCCGTGTCCCTTCACCTGCTCTGTGCACTGCAGAGCCATGGTCCAGCCCCTGGCTGAGCCCAAAACAAGCCATGGCACACTGACCCCCAGCAACAAATTACCAAGTGGCCCGTGGAAAACCCCCTGCTCTGGCATGGGGCAGTGGTGTCTCAGAGCAGATGCTCCTCAGGTGCTGCAAGTGCAGCCACTTTGCCACAACACATGGGAGAAGATGCCAGGCAAACACAAGATCTACAACCAGCAATGCCCTGGCACGGACACGGGGCACGGACAGGCAGCAGTTACTTCGTGCCCCAGGGGAGAGTGGGACTGGCAGGAGGGATGACACCAAGCCTGCACCCAAAGGCTGAGGGTGATGCTGCTCCACAGCCCAGGAGCACTGTAATTAACCTGTTGCTAACCCTGATTAATTAAGCCAGGTCACTTGGCTGAGCACAAGGAGGGGGAGACACCACTGTGAGGGAAATGGGGCACAGCCACAGCAATGCCACAAAATGATGATGCGCCCAAGACCTAAGCAAGGACATGACCACATCTCCAAGATATTGTACCAGAGGAACAGTCCTGATACGTGGGATGGATAAACGGGAGATAAAACCCCCGTGGAGCAGGAGGGACGTGGCACTGCTGCCGTGGATGGACCTGGGGAAGGTGACATACGGCACCTGAGCAGGAGCTGCAGCACAAGGGGGCTGGGAGGGCCTGGGATATGTCTGCTGCAGAAGGAACCTCAGCCAGGGTCTGCTCAGGGACCCCACCAGCAGCAGCTGTGAATTCCCTGGATGAGGGGAAGAGGCATCAGGCAGGTGCTGGGTGCTGGCGCTGCAGCAGTTCCTCGTGGTCGGAGTGCCAGCAGGGCTCAGTCCCGTCGGGGACACTCTGGGGACATGTGCTCACAGCAGACAGTGCTGTCACGATGCCATCAGCAGGGCCCCAACCAACCCACGCACCCACAGTGTGGCCACCTGCCCCAGCCCTGGCAGCAGTGCCACCCACCAGCTGGAAAAGCCACCAGCAGTGCCTTGCTTCCCCCTGCCCAGGGCCAGGTCAGTGTCCAGGGAGGGAGCAGGATGGCACAGTGGGGGCCACCATGGCTCGTGGCAGCTCCAGTGCAGTCACAAGTGGTCCCACAGCCCTCCTAGCCCCATGCTGGTGGTCCCTGACCCCGTGTGGCCTCATCCCAGGGCAGGAATGCAGTGTGACAATGCCAGCCCTGGTGCCGGAGGCTGGGCACAGAGAACCAGGCAGGTGGAGCATGCTCCCGCAGGTGGGCACGGGGAAAATCTCTTCCAGCCCAAACTCAGCCTGGGCTGCTGGGGCTGGGGATGGAGCTGGAGCTCCGATGGTCGCTGCCAGCCCATCCCAGACACGGTGCCAGCACGGCTGCACCGGCTGCTCCAGAGACACGGGACCGCGAGGAGCAGCAGACCCCAAACGGGTGCTGGGTGCCCTCATGCCTGGGAGGGTCCCACAGCCGCCCCCTGCCCCGGCACGCTGCGAGGGCCGGTTCAGAGCATCTCCCAGCCCCGGCTGGGGCACCGGACACCGCGGGCTGCCCGCGCACCGGGAGCGTGACAGCCGGAACAAACAGCTCTGGAGCTGCCTGACAGCAGCTCCCGGTGCCGCTGAGGGAGGCGGATCCCGCACCGCGCTGCCCACACCGCACCACCCCGTCGGACTAGGGGCTCTGGGGGCTGCCTGGAGCCCGGCAGGACGTGGCGGCTGCGGCAGCACCGTCCCCGCTCGCTCCGTGGCCGGGGGGATTCACCGCTCCGGCCAGCAGCGACCCCGGCTCAGGCCGGCGGGGCACGGAGGCGGGCAGCGAGCCTCAGCGGCACGGCCGGGGGGGGTCCCGGGGTCCCTGGCCATGAGGAGGTTCAGCGCCCCAGCGAGGGGTGGGGGCGTGGGAGAGGCCGGTCGGGCTTTGTGAGAAGCTGTACAGAGCGTTCCCGGCGCGGCGGGGGCCGAGCCAGCAGCGCCCGGGGCGGTGGGCACAGGGAGCTGGCAGCTGCTCTGTGCCAGCAGGGCCACGCTCGGGACAGCGGCCACGGGTCCCGGCCGGCGGACCACAGCCAGGACGGGGCGGTGCTGCCACTCACGCCCCGAAGGGCGGTGGGGAAATGCCGGCGGGGGGCGAGGGACCCCTCCACGGGCGGGGAAGCTGTCGGTGCCTCCCGTGCCACCGCAGTTCTGAGGGATGGTTTAACTCGGGGGGCGGGGAGGGTTAGCTCCAGCCTCCGCAGCAGCAGGGCAGGGTGACATGCAGGGCATTAAAATGGGAAATATGGTGGAGTTCTCCATGGTGACGAGCTTGGCCCGGTCACTCCCAGCGCAGGGTGCTGCAGGGGATGTGGGATGGACAGGGGGTATCAGTGGGGCAGGAGGGTGACATGGAGCAACACAAGGTGATGAAGAGTGTCCGTGGACAGGGGACGCTGTGCTGCGTGGGGGAAGAGGCTGGCTCACCCCAGGAGCAGTCAGCCTGGATCTCGGGGCATTCCCCCTCCTCACCCTCCTGTGCCCCTTTGCCAGCCACCCTGAGGAGATCCCACTGCCTCAGGCACACCAGGGAGGGTCCCCATGACAGGGGCACAGGGTCGAAGGGGTGTGGGGAATAGGGTCCCCCCTGGCACATGGATGTGGGGACCAGGAAACAGAGTTGGACCCCACCAGTGTCAGAGGGAGGGAGGGGTGGTGAGGGGCTTCCAGGCCATGACATGGGACTGGGCCATGGGTCAGAAGGCTCTTGGTGGTCTCAGGAGCTTTAGGAGATGTTACTCACCCTGGGGGATGAGTCAGGAAGTTGGGAGGTAAGCAAGGAATGTCTGGGGGGAGCAGGGAACATCTGGGGGACACAAGGAAATATCTGGGGGGCCACTGAGGTGGGACAGGGCCCCAAGCAGTTTGTGTCATCTGGGGGAACGTCCTGCTGTTCTGGGGCCTCTCTTGAGCCCCCCAAATGGCTGCAGGAGCCTACAGCCCCCCTGAGTCCCCCTAGCCAGTCTGTGCCTAACGGCCTCATCCCACTGCTGGTGGGGACAGACGGACGCAGCAGTTAATTGCTGATGGACAATGCAATTAACGTCCTACCCAGCCACCGCCATCTGTCCCGGCCAGCCCCACCCGGGGCTGCTGACATGCTTGGCTGGTCCTGGCACAGTTGAGACCCCACCAGCCCCTGGACATCACAGGGGGCCTGCAAGGTCCTGACAGCTCTGGCGCTCCTGGCACAGTGCCTGGGGCTCCTGCCACTGCTGTGGGATGACTCTTGTGCTCAGGGAGTCCCAGCCTGGGCTGCACAGTGGCACCTGCCTCAGTGGGCTGGACAGACCCCTTGAGCCACCTGTGCCAGGGGCTGCACTGACATCTCCAGGTGTGCCAGCCTAAATGCTGCTGTCCTACCAGCGGTTGCCAGGCCACCACATCCTGAACCCCCTGAAGCCCCTCAGCCTTACAGCTGACCACTGCCATCCACCCACTGCCCAAAGAGAGTGCCCACAGCACAGCCCACAGCGGGCAGAGGCCACGGCACCGGCAGCAGCACACATGGATGGGAACAGTACCATGGAGGACAGCGTCCCTGCCCAGTCCAGAGCCCCTGGATGAAGGGACAGGTCTGTCCTTGTACAAGCAATGCTCAGAAGCCCCCACAGCACCAGCAGCACCCGCTCCCCAAGACCAGGGGTCTAATGCTGCACCCACATTGACCTCCCAGCAGTGTCAGCTGTGCTGCCAGCATGGGGCAGCTCTGGGGACAACCCCCTGACCCTGCTCTGTGCCTGGCAGCACCATGGGTACACCCAGGCCCAGGTCAGACCCCTGGCACCCCAACACACTTCACCATGACCTGGGGCAGCCCATAGAGCCCGTGGCATGAAGCTGCAGGAGACAGTGGGAGCCCACGGCCACGGTGGCAAGGCCAAGGGGCGAACAGACCACGCAGAGCTGCTGGCTGGTTTCAGAGGATTCTCCTTTACTGCCCTTGCAGGGGAGCCCTGGGTCTGCACTGCTCCTTTTACAGACACTTGGTGGTATGTACAAGTTTAGTGTTTTGCCCCCGAAAAGAGATGTGTTTGGGTAATCCATGGACCCCCACTGTCCCGATGAGTGATGGTCGGGGTGTGGGGGGCCCTGGGAGTGGGGACTGTCCTGGAGCCGCGTGCAGTGGCCCCTCATGCAAAGCCGAACGGGGTCATGAGAGCAATAATGACACCAGAGGCGGAGGGTAACATGACAGGATTTACAGGTGGCAGATGAGAGCAGGGGGGAAGGAGGAGATGTTCTGGAGATCCGCAGTGAGCCCGACACCACACCAGGAGGCCATCCCCAGGGAAGAGGGAGTGTGTGGGGCCAGCGGGGGCCAGGTGACCCCGTGGGTGCTTCTTGGGCCATTGGCTGCTCGGGCACTGTGGCCCCAGTCTCTGGCAGGGGACTCTGGCAAGTGCAAAGGGTGAGGGAGAACGTCCCTGTGTCCTCAGGTGCGGTCCCACCGGCCTCAGGGCGGGGGACGGGCTCCATGGCGGCGATGAGGGGAAGTGGTATGGACATCCAGCCACACTACAACAAAGCGAACAGAAAAGATGGGATGAGACAGGGAGAACAATCCATGAAATGAAGCCACCAAGCCCGGCCGTCAGTGCCGCGCACCTGCTGTGGGACCGGGACAGACCGGGGAGGTCGGTGTTACCTGCGCAGGTGAGCACGGCTGAGCAGCTGCCGCCTCTGGGGCTCCCCTCGAGCCCATCCACGACCTGCTGATGTCGGAGACCCAGCTCAGGAGCTCGCCCAGCGGCACTGGGAGGTCTTTGTTGGGACTGGAAAAAGACGTCTGCCAGAGAGAGAGCGCGTTAGCGCCGGCATGGGGGGGAGCCAGGGGGGTGGAATTACCGCGAAGAAGGAAAAGGAAGCTGTTTTTACAGAAATCTCCCTATTTCTAACAAGAGTGTGTGCCAGGCTGCTACAGCATCCTACGACCCACCCTGTGCTGCAGGGGTCCCATGGCCCTCATACTCTTTGTGAGGGTCAGGAAAACACCCACGGCTCTGGGGGGTTCTGGGGGCAGGAGCTGCGCAGACCCAGGCAGGGGCGTGGGCTCTGGCAGACAGCTGCCAACGGGTCATGGAGCCACATGAGTGTGAGGAAATCAACCTCGAGCAGAAGCACTTCCCAGATACACGGAGAGACTGACAGACAGACCGGCCGACCGCGGCGGGCGCGTCCCGGAGGACGGGTGAGCGGGTGGGCTGGCGGAGGCAGGCACGCAGCGAAGCCCCTCGGCGGGTGAAGTGGCGAGCAGAGGCAGGTCCCCCCGCATGGCGCGGAAGCACCGGGCAGCGCCAGCGCGGCACTTACGGTCAGGGCACCGGCTCTGCGGCGTGGTGGTGGGGACGTGCCAGGAGGCCAAGGCAGGGAGATGGGGCAGCTCGGGGGGCTGGGGTGCAGAGCCCCCTCCTCGCTGCACTGAGGGCGCGTGGAAGGGGTCCAGGCAGCAGCTTCAGGGCTGGTGTGGTGTGTCTAGCTGTCCAGTGCCGAGGAGCTGGTGATGTCCTCCTCTGGCACATCGGTTGCAGTGGGGTGCACCACAGGGCCAAGGCAGTCTCCTCTTTTGGGGTGCAGGGGCTGAAGCCGGCAGGTTAATTACAAAAGAATGCTAAGTGGTTAGATCCAAACGGGGAACTGTTTTCTTGGTGTCCGGCTCGGCCGCGCCGTGTGCGAGCAGCGGCGGGATTGGCGCAGCCAGGAGCAGGAACGGTGTCCGGCTCCTGGGGCACAGGGTGGGGAGGGTAGTGTATATTCTCTCTTGTCTCTTAATATACAAACACTGTCAGCACATTCGCATATATTAATTTATTAGTCTTGTCTTTTTGGTTAAACTTGAGGCACTGCTTTGGGAAAAAAGTGGAGGTTCAAAATTAAAAAAAATACTAGTGATTAGCCAGCAGCGTTGCCACATGCGGAGCGGGTGAGGCAGCGCCTCGGGGGGCTGGCAGGTCTCAGGCCACGTGGAGCAGGGGCCCAGACACCCCGGGGCACTCCCTGCTCGCCTCCCACCCGCAGCTTCTGGATGCGGCCAGGGCGAGGGCAAGGGCAGCCTCCTCCATGGTGCCCTGGGTACTCCCCGTGTATCTGCGCCCGAAACTCGAGGAGGAGTAAGAGGAGGAAGAGAAGGTCATGGAGAAGCCGGAGCCAGTGGCGTCGAAACTGCCGCGCCGGGAGCCTGAGCGGGAGCCGGTGCGAGAGCCCGAGCGCGATCCGGAGGTGGAGCCGGCGCTGCTGATGTTGTAGGGACTGTAGTAGCCCTTGCTGGACTGGGAGGAGGCCTCCAGCAGCCGCAGGCCAGTCCCATCCTCGATCATGCTCCGGTCCATGGCATCCTTGTAGGAGATCTTGAGCTTGGTCTTGGGGCAGGTGAGGTACTTGGAATAGGTGTTGACATCCCGCAGCTTCTGGGCAGTCCGTGCGTCAATGGTGCCCTTCTGCAGCGCCTCATCCAGGGAGACACGGCCTGGGGCATCAGGCTCGATCAGGCCCCCTGTCAAGTACTGCACCTCCAGGAACCGCTGCCCGGCCTCATAGTACAGCCAGCCCTTCTTCAGGGCCTGCGCCGCCGACATCTTTGTCTTGGTCCGCGGGTCCTCAAAGCCGTAGAAGGCCTTCTGCGCCAGGTTGATGCGGTCCACCATGATCTTGTCAACCAGGCCCTTGGTGACCGCATCAGCGACGGTGCATTTGTCACCGGTGTTGGGGTCGATGATGCCTCCGGTGCAGGCTTGGGCTTCCAGCAGCCGCTGCCCTGTGATGTTGTCCACCAGGTTGCGGCGCATCGCCTCCGTGATGGACACCTTTTCCAGGGTGTCCGTGTCCAGGATGCCTGCCACTGGCCCAGTCTCTTCGGTTGGGTCAGTCCACATGGAGATCTGAGTCCGTGACAGGGCTGGGCTGACAGTGTAGGAGGAGGAGGATCCAACTGAGGATGACCGCGACCGGAAGCCACCCATGTTGCCAGAGAGCATGTCAGCAAACTCAGTGATGGAGAGGGTGCCTGAGCGGTACTGGTCCAGGGCTGACTGGTCAATCAGACCCTTGCCAATGGCATCATCGATGTCATACTGGCGCCCTGAGCGCCTGTCGATGATCATTGACTTCACCACGCCATCGGAGGAGGAGGTGGTGATCTCCTCCCACTCGCACTCCTGCTCTGACAGCTCCAGGTAAGTCTGGTGGTCAATGAGGCCCTTGCGATAGGCTTCGTAGACAGACATCTCCTTGCCAGTCTCCGGGTCAACGATCACCACGCGGCGCTTGCGGACGGAGGACTTGGAGGAGGTCTTCCTCTCCCGCTTTTTCTCCTTCAGAGGCAGGAGGCAGAGGCCGGTCTCTGGGTCTGTGATGCACCGCTCCATGAGCTGCAGGTAGGTGAGGTTCTCCTCTGTGTTGGGGTCGAAGAAGCCCTTGGTGTCGTCACTAGGGTCCAGCAGGATCTCGTTCATCTCCTCGTCAAAGAGGCCCCTCTTGTAGGCCACCTCCACAGGCAGGCGGTGGCTCTCCTCAGGGTCGATGATGCCTCCCGTGGCGATCTGTGCCTCCAGTAAGCGGATGCCGTGGTCCTTCAGGATCAGACCCTTCTTCATCGCCTGGAAGAGGGAGATGAGCTTTCCGGTGTAGGGGTCCCGGTAGCCGGTGACGGCCCGCTCGGCAGAGAGCAGCTTGTCCTTGAACTCGGGGCCCACAATGCCCATGCGCACAGCTTCCTCCACTGTCAGTTTGAGCCCCTTGATGGGATCAATCACATAGCCCGTGGCTGCCTGTGCCTCCAAGAGCTCGAAGGCAGTGCCAGGCCGGATGATCCCCTTCTTCATGGCCTGGTAGATGGACAGACGCTCCTTTGTGGAGTCCACAAAGACGCCAGCGATGCAGCTGGTGCCCTCCAGGAACTTCTTCAGGTTCTTAGAGACCTCCTCGACAGAGGTGAGACCCTCCTGGAGGCGCTGGGCTGTGGCTTCGTCCATCACCTGTGAGAGGACCAGCTCCTCCACAGTGATCTGCTTCCGCAGGCCCCGGAAGGTGAGCTTCCGTGTGTCGCAGAGCGGGAGCAGGAGGAGCCTGGAGTTCTCGTCCTTCCGACACCGCCTCAGCAGCTGCGTGTAGCTGAGCTTCTCATCTGTGGAGGGGTCCACGTAGCTGCGCACCTCGCTGGGCTCCGACAGCATGTCATACGTCTCCTTGTTGATGAAGCCCCGCTGGAGGGCCACCTCCAGGGGCAGGTGGAAGCCCAGGTGAGGGTCAATTATGCCGCCGGTGGCGATCTGGGCGTCTAGGAGCTTGAGGGCCTCTTCGCTGGGAATGAGATCCTTCTTCATGGCCTGGAAGAGGGAAATCTTCTGTTCACTGTAGGGGTCCCTGTAGCCGGTCACAGCTCTCTCTGCAGACAGGAGCCGGTCGTGGATCTCTGGCCCCACCACGCCCTTCCTGACTGCCTCATCAACAGTCAGCATTTCATTCTTCGTGGGGTCGATCATGAAGCCGGTGGCTGCCTGGGCCTCCAGGAGGGAGCGGGCCACTTCGGAATTGATCAGGCCCTTCTTCAGCGCCTGGTAGACACTGAGTGTCTGCTTGGAGGAGGGGATGTAGATGCCAGCCACACAGCCTGACCCATAAAGGTACTTCCAGACAGTCTCCACATCCAGGAGCTCCCGGAAGGTTTTGGAGCCCTGTTTCAGCAGGTTGTAGATGTCCTGTGTGATGATCTTGGCCTCGTAGAGGTCCTCGGCTGTGATGCGGCGCCGGACATAGTCATAGGATGTTAGATTCTGCTGACGGATGATCTCAGTCTTCTCGATGATCTCGATGATAATGATGATCATGCGCTCCTTGGACACGCGGCCCGACTGGAACTCCTCCATGAGGTGTTTACGCTGCTCCTCGGGCAGCAGGTCTGAGTGCATGACATCCCACAGTGACATGGAGGAGCCTGCCCGGCTGCCCACAGGGATGTCCACCTGTGTCTCCTCAAACACCTTCCGTGTCTCTTCTTCTGTATACATGTGAGTGGTTTCCACCACTTTTTGCTTCTCAGGCTCCCGCAGCGGCAGCAGGTATAGGCCCGTCTCGGGATCCTCGATGCACCTCTCCTTCAGCTGCACATAGGTGAGGTTCTCCTGAGTGTTGGGGTCGAAGAAGCCCTTGGTGTCATCACTGGGGTCGGAGAGAGTCCGGTTCATCTCCTCGTCAAAGTAGCCACGCTTGTAGGCCACCTCCACGGGCAGGCGGTGGCTGTGCACGGGGTCGATGATGCCACCGGTGGCGATCTGGGCCTCGAGCAGACGGATGCCATGCTCCTTGACAATAAGCCCTTTCTTCATGGCCTGGAACAGGGAGATGGTATCACCCGAGTAGGGATCCTTGTACCCCGTGACAGCCTTCTCAGCCGACAGCAGCTTCTCGTGCAGCTCAGGCCCGACAATGCCAGCCTTCACCGCCTCGTTGACGTACAGTTTACGGTTCTTCACAGGGTCAATCAAGAACCCAGTGGCTGCCTGGGCTTCCAGGAGGACCACGGCTGTGCTGGGTCTCAGCAGGTTCCTCTTCATGGCTTCATAGATGTTCAGCTTCTCCTTGGTGGCCTCCACATAGACACCGGCAATGCAGTCGCTGCCATGCAGGAATCTCCTGACTGCATCTGTCTCAGAGAGGTCCTTCACTGATTTCTTGCCTTCCTTCAGCTGCTCGTACTGGGTTTTGCTGATGATGCAGGACTCCAGCAGCTCGCTGGCTGGCACTGGTGCCCGCAGACCACTGAATGTCAGTTTCTCCTGCTTTTTGGTTTCTGCCTCCTCGATGATGGTGATCACAATCTTGATGATCTTCTCGATGGTCACTTTGCCGGTCTTGTACTGTCGGAGCAGCTCCCGCCTGTGCTCCTCTGTGAAGTATTCAGAGTGGATCAGCTCCCAGATGGTCATTGTCTGGCCCTTCATGCTGCCCACCGGGACCTCTATGGTTGCTTTGTCGAAGCACTCCTTGGCCTGGCTGTCAGTGTAGATCTCCTCCTGCTGTGACTGGATTGCCTTGTCAGATAGGGGCAGCAGGCGTAGGCCAGTCTGCTTGTCGCGGTGACAACTCTTCTGCAGCTGCACATAGGTGAGGTGTTCCTGGGTGTTGGGACAGTAGAAAGCCTTGGCTTCATCTTGGAACTCAGTCAGAGCCTTGTTTATCTCTGGGTCGAAGTAGCCGCGCTTGTAGGCAACCTCAAGCGGGAGCCGGTGGCTGTTGACGGGGTCGATGATGCCACCAGTGGCAAGCTGGACGTCCAGCAGCCGGAGCCCAGTGTCGCTGGGGATGAGGCCCTTCTGGAGTGCTTGGTAGAGGGAAACTGTCTGACCTGTGTAGGGATCCTTGTAGCCAGTCACCGCCTTCTCTGCCGACAGCAGCTTCTCGTGGAACTCTGGCCCCACCACCTCGGCCTTCACTGCCTCATCCACGGAGAAGAGCTTGTTAGCCACAGGGTCAATGATGTAGCCGGTGGCAGCTTGTGCCTCCAGCAGGGACAGGGCAACTTCTGGCTTCAGCAGGTTTCTCTTCAGGGCCTCGTAGAAGGTGAGCTTCTGGCCTGTAGACTCCACCAGGACACCAGCAATGGCATCCGTGCCCTTCAGGTACTGCCGTACGGACTCCATCTCTGCCACGTCCTTTATGGACTTCTTGCCCTGGTGCAGCTGGTTGTAGAGGTCCTTGTTGATGATCTTGCTCTCAAGCAGCTCGGCAGCGGGCACGGGACCCCGCAGGCCCTCAAAGCACATCTGGCTCTTCTTCTCACTTTCCTCCACAACCGTGATGACGATCTTGATGATCTTCTCCACTGTGATCTTGCCAGTCCTGTACTGCTGGATCAGGTCCCGCCTTTGGTCCTCAGTGAAGTATTCAGAGTTGATTAGCTCCCAGATGGTCATCGTCTTCCCTTGGAACTTGCCAAACGGTGCTGTCACCGTGGCCTTCTTGAAGACATCCTTGGCTTCCTTGTCAGTGTAGACCAGCTCTCTGGCTTTGGCTGCTTGGTCAGTGAGTGGCAGGAGGCACAGCCCTGTGTCCGGGTCAGTCACGCACCGCTCCATGAGCTGCAGGTAGGTGAGGTTCTCCTGAGTGTTGGGATCGAAGAAGCCCTTGGTGTCATCAGTGGGGTCAGACAGGACCTGATTCATCTCCTCATCGAAGTAGCCACGCTTGTAGGCAGCTTCCACGGGCAGGCGGTGGCTGTTGACAGGATCGATGATGCCGCCGGTGGCGATCTGGGCCTCGAGCAGGCGGATGCCGTGGTCCCTGACGATGAGATCCTTCTGCATGGCCTGGAAGAGGGAGATCTTGTCACCTGTGTATGGATCCTTATAGCCGGTGACAGCCCGCTCGGCCGACAGCATCTTGTTGTGCAGCTCTGGCCCGATCACTCCCTCTCGCACCGCCTCGTTCACCGAGAGCCTTGCATTCCGCACAGGGTCAATGATGAAGCCAGAAGCAGCCTGTGCCTCCAGGAGCACCAGCGCTGTGCCTGGGCTGAGCAGCTTCTTCTTCATGGCTTCGTAGATGCTCATCTTCTGGTTGGAGGGTTTGATCAGCAAACCGGCAATGCTGCTCTTGCCCTGCAGGTACTTCTTGACATCCTCCCTCTGAGAGAGCTCGCCCACACTCACAACACCCTTTGCCAACTTGTCTAAGTTCTCCCTGCTCAGAATGCCTGCATCAGCCAGCTTCTCTGCTGACACCTTCTGCCGGATGCCGTCAAAGGCGAACTCCGGCTCCCCATTCTGGGCTAAGCCGTCCATTGCATCCCGGCCATTGGGCACAGCCTTGATGTCCAGCAGCTGCGTTGTCGTAACCACCTCCCCAGGCAGGTCATCTGTCTGGATCATGATCTCCCGTCTCTGGGCCAGGGCAGCCTTGTACTCCTCCTGCATCTGCTCGAGCCTCTCCCTCAGCTTCTTGTTCTCTTCTTCCAGAAGTTTCTCCTGCTGCTGTCGCTGCTTCTCCAGCTGCTGTAGCTCCTCCTGCTTGTGCCGGACGTTTTCCTCAGCTTCCTTCTGATGCTTCTTGGCTTCCTCTAACATAGCTTTCAACTGCTGCTTCTCCTGCTCCATCTCCTGCTGCTGCCGTTCCTGCTCTGCCTTCAGGTTCTGGGCTTTGTTCACTTCATCCTTAAAGAGCTTCTCCAGCTTCGATTTCTCCTCCTCAATGAACTTCTCCTTCTGCAGCAGGGCATCTTTCTCCGTCAGGAAGCTCTGCTGCAGGAGCTGCGTCTCCTGACGGAGCTGAGCCTGCTGGGCCACCTGCATCTAGGGTGGGAGAGAGAACAGTGCAGTCAGACACCCAGGAGGGCAGTGGGGGACTGAGGGTGGGCTGAGGCAGGGGGACGGGCGGCAGGGGTGGCACGGAGGCACAGTCACTCAGACACTCTCTGCATCAGTTAAGAGCTAAGGAGCAGAGGCAGGGTTAGGGAGCCACACACAACATGGGGCAGGATGAGCAGGGGAAGGACACAAGGGAACCCCCAGCACTCAGGCTGGGAGCTGGGCACAGAGAGGAACACGGCAGGACATGCCACGGGGTGGAAGAGCCAGCCCAGGCGGTGGGGATCCCACCTCCATGGCTCCAGGGGTTTGGGGTCCTGCTCCGACGCTGCCTGAGGGGTTTGCTCCATCACCTCCACCTCTACGCACATCCCTGACCTGCACAGGGAGTCCAGCCCCACCATCCCCAGTGATGGTCCTGAGGACCGGCCCAGGGATGGTGTGGGCTGGCTGGGAAGAGGGATAGCCTCCCTGCGTACCACCACCACTAAAGGGGACCCACAGCTCAGTACCTCCTCTGCCTTCTGCTGCAGCAGCGCTGCCTCCTGTTTCAGCTTCTCCTTCTCCTTCTCCAGGTCAGCGATGGCCTTCCGCAGCTTTTCTGCATCCTCATCGCTCTGGTGCCGCTGGATCTCCAGGGTGTGCACCATCGTCATCTTCTCCTGTGTGGCCAGCTCAGTCTCATGCAGCCTCTCACTGATCTCCTCCGCCTGCTTTTTGAACCGCTTGGCTTCCTCCTCAGCCTTGGCCTGGGCCATGCTCATCTCTGCCACCTGCAGCTTGAGGCGCTCAGCCTCAGCTGTAATGTCCAGCTGCCGCCGGCGCTCAGCCTCCAGCGTCTTCTGGAAGCCCTCGGTCTCCTCAGCCAGGCGCTGCTGCATCTGCTCCTTGTCCTCCTGCAGCTTCTTGGCATGTTCCTGCGCCAGATCCTTCTGCTTCTGCAGCATCTCAGCCTCTGCCCGCAGCCGCGTGGCCTCCTGCACCGCCTGCATCTTCTCCTTCAGCATCTTCTCTGCCAGTGCCCGCTGCTGCGCCAGGTCGTCCTCAGCCAGCTGCCGCATGCGGGCGGCCTCCTGCGCCTCCACGCTCAGGCGGGCCACCTCCTCCGCCACCTGCTTCATCTTCTCTGCCTCCTCTGCCAAGAACTTCTGCGTGTTGTCCTTGTCCTTGAGGATCAGTGCCTTGTTCTCCTCCTCGATGCGGCTCTTCAGCTTGGCCAGCTCCTCCATCTGCACCCGGACCTTGAAGAGTTCCTCCTCCACTTGGGCCTTTTGCCGGACGGCGTCTGTCACCTCCTCCTTCAGCCGCTGCAGCTCCTCATCCAGGATGCCCTTCTGGTGGTCTGTCTCATCCAGCTGCAACTTCACCTTGGTCAGCTCCTGCTCCACCTGCGCCTTCTGCCGCAGTGTCTGCTCGGCAAACTTCTTGTGCTTCTCCATCTCGGCATCGGCCAGCTGCTTCTGCCGCAGGGCAGCCTGCTCTGCCTGCGCCCGTTTTGCTGCCTCCAGCTCGGCCTCCTTCCGCAGCTTCTCTGCATCTGCCTGTGCCTGTGCCTTGGCCTGCGCCTCCTCCTCTGCCCGCTGCTTCAGCCGCTCAGCCTCCTCCACGCGCTGCCGGGACAAGCTGGCGTCCTGCTCGGCCTTGCCACGGGCAAACTCGGCCTCCTCAGCCGCCCGCCGGGCCCGCTCAGCCTCCTCACGCAGCCGGTCCAGAAGGCTCTGCTCCTGCTGGCGTGTCTGCAGCAGCTCCTGCTCCTTCTGCTGCACGGCAGCCAGGTGTGCCTTCTCCTCGGCTGCAATCCGCTTCTGCGCCGCCTCCCGTGCCAGCTGGATCTGCCGCTCTGATTCCTTTTCCGCTAGTTCCTTCTGCCGCCGTGCCTCCTCCACCATGGCCCGCAGCCGCTCCACCTCCTCCAGGGCCAGACGCCGCTGCCGCCCTGCCTCCTCCTCGGCCGCCAGGATGGCCTGCACCTTCTCTTCAGCCTCACGCCGGCGGCCCTCCTCCTCCAGCGCCAGTGCCCGCTGCCGCTCAGCCTCCCGCTCCGCCTGCTCCCGGCTGCGCTGCACCTCCTCTGCCTCTCCACGGATGCGGTTCAGCTCCCGCTCCAGCTCGCTCTTGCCAGCTGAGGCCCTCTCAAAGCTGGCCTTGAGGGCGCGGATCTCCTCCTCAACCTGCCGCCGCTGCCGCAGCGTATCCTCCACGAGCCCCTTCTGCCTCTCCAGTTCGCTCTCTGAGGAGCGCTTCAGCAGGGCAATCTTCTCCTCAATGTCCTGCTTGTGTTGGGCCGCCTGCTCCTCCAGCAGCTTGCGCTGGTAGGCCTCGTCCTCCGCCAGCCGCCGCAGCCGCTCGTTCTCTGCCTCCTTCTCCTTCAGCGCGATCTCTGCTTCCGCCTTCAGCCGTGAGGCCTCGTTGATGGCCGCCAGCTTCTCCTTCAGGATGCGCTCGGCCTCGGCCCGTTGCCGGCTGGCCTCGTCCTCTGCCAGCTGCCGCTGCCGCTTGGCCTCCTCGGAGAGGGCGCGCAGGCGGGCAGCCTCCTCAGCCAGCTCCCGCAGCTTGTTGGCCTCTGCCTCCAGCCGCTGCTTGGACTTCTCGCTGCTGGAGCGCGACTCCTCCTCTGTCTTGGCCTTGCTCTCCAGCAGGACCTCCATCTCTGCCCGCAGCTTGGCCAGCTCCTCCTCCAGCTCTTTCCTCCTCTGGATGGCCTCGTTTACCTCGCCCTTCAACCGTGAGAGCTCTTCCTCCAGGAGCAGGCGCTGCTGCTCCCCATTCTCCATCTCCGCCTTCAGCCGGATCAGCTCCTGCTCCGCCGCCAGCTTCTGCTGGGCTGTGCCCTCTGCCAGCACCCGCTGCTTTTCCAGCTCTTCCTCCGCCAGCTCCTTCTGCCGCACGGCCACCTCCTCTGCCTTGGCGCGCTTGCGGGCCTCGCGCTCTGCATCCTCCTTCTGCTTCTCGGCCTCCTCCTGTGCCAGTGACTTCTTGTGCGCCACCTCTTCGGCCTGCAGCCGCAGGCGCAGCGCCTCGTTGGCCTTCTGCCGCCAGCGCTCCAGCTCCTTCTCAGCCTCCTCCCGTGAGTGCTCGGCTTCCAGCTGCTGCCTCTTCAGCCGCTCAGCCTCCTCCTGCAGCTGGGCCACCACATCGTGCTCCTGCTGCAGTGACAGCTCCAGCTGCGCTGTCTTCTCGGCGAAAGAGAGCCTCTTGCTCTGCAGCTCGGCCTCAGCGCTGCGCTGGGCCACCTCCTGGGCCACCTGGATCTGCCGGTCCTTCTCAGCCTCTGCCTGCCGCATGCGCCGCTCAGCCTCCTCCGCCTGCAGCCGCAGCTGCTCCAGGTCTGCCACTGCCTTCTGCTTCTCCCGCGCCGCTTCGCGCTCAGCCTGCACCTTGCGCTTCAGCTCCTCCTCCGCCTCCCGCTTCTTCTGGCTCTCCTCCTTCACCTGCCGGCGCAGGCGCTCGGCCTCCTCCTGTGCCTGCCGCTTCTGCCGCTCAGCATCTTCAGCACGTGCCCGCAGCTCCTGCAGCTCTGTCTCTGCGCTCTCCCGCTGCTTCTCGGTGCTCTCCAGCTGCAGGCGGATGAGGCGGATCTCCTCCTCCACTTTCTTGCGGTTGTATTCAGCCTCCTCGATCAGCTTCACCTTGGACTTGATCTGGTGGTCCGAGTTCTGCCGCAGCTGCATCAGCTCCTGCTGGATGTTCTGCTTCTGCTGCTCGGCATCCACGGCCACCACCTCCCGCCGGGTGACCTCCTCCTGCATGCGGAGCTGCAGCTCCCGCGCCTCCGCCTCCGCCTGTGCCTTGGCTTTGGCGTGGGCCTCGGCCAGCTGCCGCTGCTTCTCCAGCTGCGCCTCCACCTCCGCCAGCCGCTTCCTCTCCTCCTCTTTCAGCTTCTCGGCGGCTTTCTGGAGGGGAAAGAGGGTGCAGGGGACAGAGAGGGGAGAGAGAGACAAATCACAAGGGATGCGATCGCGCCGTGGAATCGATGCTGGCCCAGCCACACACTGCCGAGACAGCCGAGGGGTGGCAGATGCGCGTGGAATGGCTTCGGCCCCTGGGCCACCGCACGAGCCGGTGACGCCAGCTTCCAGAAGATGTGTGGCGCGACAGGGGACACACGACAGCACAGGCAGACAGGCAACAGGAGCCAGACAGCAGCGCAGGAAGCCACGTTCCAGAGAGAAGGGACAGAGAGCGAGCGGAGCCCAAGCGATGAAGACGATGCGAGCAACGTGCACATCACCACCCTGGCTCCCCCTGCGAGGGGGCTGGCACAAACAGCCCCTGCCGTGGGGAAAGGAGACAGACGGCCTGGGAGCAGAAGAGAGGGGAGCGGTGCGAGGGCGGTGCCAGCAGAGCCTTCCCTGCCGGGAAAGTCTCAACAGGAGTGAGCAGTTCAGCTGGTTCAAACCCCTCCCAGCCCTCTCCAGGCAACTGGGAGCAGGGTCTGCCAAAGGGCCAACGCAGCTGGCGCCGGGCTTGGGGCCGTGCCGCAGCACGCGCACCACATGCACTGTGAGCGAGGCAGCCACACGCGCCGCAGGGCCTGGGCGCAGGCAGCGCATGCAGGGGAGCCAGACCCCACACCGGACCCCTGGACCCGGAGTAGCACAGACGTAGAGGAGGGTGAGGAGGAGAGCGTGAGCCGTGGGGGAGGCGGAGGGTGCCGCGGGGAGAAGGCATGCGCAGAGTGAGTACCTGGTGCACGGCTGCCAGAGTCATCCTGGTTTTTTACCCTCCATTAGATCCCCACCAACACAAATATTCCCCAAGAAAAAGCACTGGCAAAGCGGCTCCAAGGGCAGAAACCAAGAGTTAGAGAGGTTACCCCGCGCCAGACCCCGCGGGCCAGCGCCCAGCACAGCAGCATGCGCAGGCAGGTGCTGACTGCACTACGTGTATCTGGGAAGTGCCTCCTACCACCAGTCACACCAGAGCCCCCAGTGCCCAGAGCCAGCGTGGCTCGGAGACCCACTCTACGCAGAGCCAGCAGCCTTGCTCCCAGGAGCCCAGCACGGAGCAGGAGCTAGAGGCCGTGGGCCAGTATTAGTGATAGGGCCGGAGTCATGGCCATGGGCCAGTATTAGTCATGGGTCTGCAGCCACAGCCATGGGCCGCTGTTAGTGATGGGGCCAGGGTCCCCGTGAACGGCGTTCCTTTTGGTTACACAGCTGGCCATGCCGCCCTGCACTGCTCCCTACCTCCTCGTCCTCCAGCCGCCGCAGTGTCTCGGTGATGAACTTGATGTACTGGGTGGTGAGCGTGGTCAGCTCACTGTACTGCGTCCGCAGGTCCACGTACTGTGGAGACAGTGGGTCAGCACGAGAGAAGGGAGCTTGCCCGCGGCCCGCCGGTACCCAAGCAATCACGGGGCTGCACGACCACGTGCCACAGCCCCAAATCCACCCCTTCAGTGAGCAGCCACGCCCCAGGAGCTGCAGGACACCCCAGTGGCAGAGAGAGCCCCCCCTCACCTCCTGGATGATGCTGTCAGATGCCGACTGCACTTTGGGCTTCTTGGCTGGCGATGCCACCGGCTCCACCTGTGCCTTGAAGCTCACCAGCTGCAGCTCGTAGTCCTGATGAGGAGAGAGTGATCAAAGCTCTGCTACGTGGGACGAGCCCCCGGTCACGGTGCTGCGAGCCCACCCCCTGCAGGACACCGTGCTGCCTCCTCAGCCCCCCAGGCAGTGGACCCACCTTGATGGCATCGATGTACTGCTTGGCATAGCGCTGGCACTCCTCCACCTTCTCCTTGTGCTGCTCACACTCCTCCAGCAGTTTCTGGGGAGACACGTGGCGGTGAGCCCAGGCACCCCACGGCCACCCAAGATCACACCTCACCCCACCATGGCCAGGGATGGCCAAGAGCAACACTTGCCCTGCCATGGCTGGGAATGGCCGGGAGCACCCCTCACCCTGCTGCAGCCAAAAATGGTCAGGAGCATCCCCCATCCCACTGGGGATGGCTGAGAGCTCCCACCCACCACGTGCCATGGCCAGGGATGGTCCCCCTCCTGCTGCAGCCACCCAAGAGCAAAACTCAACATGTCATGGCTGGAGATAGCTGGGCACTCCCCTCACTCTGCCACAGACAGAGATGGGCAGATCTGCACTCTGCTGGGGATGGCCAGGTGAATCCCTCGCCACGCCACAGCCAGGGATAGCTGAGATCACCCCTCGTCCTGCTGTGGAATGCCCAGGAGCACTCCTTGCCCCATGGAGGACAGCCTGGCACACCCCTCACCTTGATGAGAATGCCCAGGAGCACCCCTTGCCTCATTGGGGATGGCCAGGCACACCCCTCACCTTGCTGGGGATGCCCAGAAGCACCCCTTACCCCATGGAGGATAGCCTGGCACACCCCTCACCCTGCTGAGAATGCCCAGGAGCACCCCTTACGCCATTGGGGATGGCCTGGCACACCCCTCACCCTGCTGGGGATGCCCAGGAGCACCCCTCACCCTGCTGGGGATTCCCAGGAGCACCCCTTACCCCACTGGGGATGGCCTGGCACACCCCTCACCCTGCTGAGGACGCCCAGGAGCCCCCCTTGCCCCATTGGGGATGGCCTGGCACACCCCTCACCCTGCTGGGGATGCCCAGAAGCATCCCTTACCCCACTGGGGATGCCCAGGAGCACCCCTCACCCTGCTGGGGACGCCCAGGAGCCCCCCTTGCCTCATTGGGGATGGCCTGGCACACCCCTCACCCTGCTGGGGACGCCCAGGAGCCCCCCCTTGCCCCACGGCCAGCCCCACCTTCTCCTGCAGCAGCTGCTCGCGCACGGCCCGGCTGTCGGTGATGGGCACGGCCTGGATGGCCTCCTGGCGCTGCCGGGCATCGCGGATCCACTGGCGCAGCGCGTCGCAGCTCTGCCGGTAGTAGCCCAGCTGGCGGCCCAGCTGGTCCAGCTCGCGCTGGCGCAGGTCAGCCTGGCCCAGCACGGCCTGCCAGCGCTCCAGCAGCTGCTGCACCCGCTCCCGGTACCGCTCCAGGTCCACGTCCCGCTCGCTGTGGCCGCGGACCATCCGCTCGTTGACGTCCTTGGCCTTGCCGAGGTCGGTCTCCAGCGTGCTGAAGAAGGGCTGGTGGCTCTCGGCCTGTGCCCGCAGCCGCTGTGGCAGATGGGCAGCGGTCAGAGCCAGCCACGGTGTCCCCAGCCACCCCTCCCTTGGCACCCCCGAGCCCCTGGTACCTTAAGCTCAGCCTTGCTGGCCTCCAGCTCAGCCAGGTCAGCGGGCACCGCCTGCACGTCCTTCAGCTGCTCCTCGTACTTGCGGAGCAGCTCCTCAGCGCCCTGCGTGCTCCGGATCACCAGCCCGATGGTCTTCAGCCTGCGGCACAGGGACGGGATCAGCCGGGAGCGGGATGGGAGCAGGAGCGGGACAGGAGCGGGATGGGAGCGGGCAGCTCAGCGAGAGCAGCATGGCAGACCCAAGAGGGAAGGGAAAGGGAAAAAAGGGGGGAAAGGGGGAAAAGGAAAAAATGGGGGAAAAGGGAAAAAAAAGGAGAAAGGAAAATAGGGGGAAAGGAAAAAAGGGAAAAGGAATAAAAGGGAAAAAAATGGGGAAGGGAAAAGAAGGGGAAAAAAGGGGAAAAGGAATAAAAGGGGGAAAAAGGGGGAAGGGAAAAGAAGGGGAAAAAGGGGGAAAAGGAAAAATGGGGAAAAGGAATAAAAGGGGGAAAAAGGGGGAAGGGAGAAGAAGGGGAAAAAAGGGGAAAAGGAGGAAAAGGGGGAAAAGGGAAAAGAGAAAAAGGAAAAGGGGAAAAAAGGGGGGAAAAAGGAAAAGGGAAAAAAGGAAAAATAAAAAAAATGGGGAAAAGGAAAAAAGGGGGGAAAAAGGAAAAGGGAAAAAGGAAAAAAAAAAGGAAAAGAGGAAAAGGAAAAAAGGGGAAAAGGAATAAAAGGGGGAAAAGGGGGGAAAGGAAAAAAAGGAAAAGGAATAAAAGGGGGAAAAAAGGGGGAAAGAAAAAAGGAGAATATGGGAAAGGGAAGAAAGGGGAAAAGGAAAAAAAGGAAGAAGGGAAAAAGGAAAAGAGGAAAAAAGGGGAGAAGGAAAAGAGGGGAAAAGGAAAAAAAGAAAAAAGGGAAAAAGGAAAAGAGGGGAAAAGGAAAAAAGGGGAAAAGGAAAAAGGAAAAAAAAGGGGGGGAAAGGGAAAAAAGGGAAAAGGAAAAAAGGAAAAGGGAAAAAGGAAAAAAAAGGGAAAAGAAGGAGAAACAAAAAGAAGAAGAGAAGAGGGAAGGAAAAGAAAGGGAAAGGCATGCTGGCTCTCCCCACAGCCTCCCAACTGCCCAGGCTCGTTTCCAGCCCGGGGGCGAGGGTGCCAGGGCTCACTCACTTCTCCAGGTAGATGCTGGAGAGGCTGTACACCTGCTCCATCTTCCGCAGGGTGACCTCCAGCTCGGAGCGCAGGACAGGCGCCGAGCCCGCCTGCTCCGGCTGCGCCAGCACCTGCTCCGTCTTCTCGCTGACTTTGGCCAGGTTCTTCTGGATGCCCTCCAGCTCCAGGTGTGTTTGCTGCAGGGAAGGAGTCCCTCAGTCCTTGCCCCCGACAGAATGCTCCCCCTCTCTTGGAGCCCGGGAGGAGCAGAGCAGGGGAAGGCTCTGCAGCCCGTCGGTGCAGGTGGACAGCAGAGGTTTAGGTGGGATATTGGGGAAATTTCTCCTGTAAAGGCTGTGCAGCCCCGGCACAGCTGCCCTAGGGATGGAGTGCCACCCCTGGGGAGATTTTACAGCCGTGTGGATCACTTGGGGACATGATCAGGGGTGGCCTTGGTGGACTCAATGGGCTCTGAGGGCTTTTCCAACCCAAACCATTCCCCCAGGCCCATCCTGGCGCTGAGCTGGCCGCCTGTGCGCACTACTCATGTCACACGCGTGTCACAGGGCTGGGGTCAGCCTGGCCTTGCCATGGGGCTGGAGGTGTCACCCTGGAGGTGTCACCCTGAGGATCCTGGGGGGAATCCACTGGGCCAGCTCCCCGGGGCTCGCACGTGTGTCACACACCTGCTGCTCAGCCTGGCGCTGGGCGCACTCGCGCAGGGGGTCGGCCTTGAGGGGCAGGCGCAGGCGGTGCACGGTGCGGCTCTCGCAGCTCTCCAGCTGCAGCCGGATGTCCTTCAGCTGCGAGATGTAGCTCTTGCACAGAGACTCGTCCTGCTCTCCTGCGGGGACAGAGGGGCGGCTCAGTGCCCTGGGGCACCACGGGGACGCCGCGGGGACCCACGGTGACACCGCGATGGCTCGGCACCATGGGGACACCCTGGGGACCCAGAGCAGGGAGAGGGGACACGGGGATGGATCAGCACCATGGGGACCCACAGTAAGGAGAGGGGACATGGGGATGGATCAGCACCACGGGGACCCACAGCAGGGAGAGGGGACACGGGGATGGATCAGCACCCTGGGTACCCAGAGCAGGGAGAGGGGACATGGGGATGGCTCAGCACCATGGGGACACCCTGGGGACCCACAGCAGGGAGAGGGGAGACAGGGATGGATCAGCACCATGGGGACCCACAGCAGGGAGAGGGGGCACGGGGATGGCTCAGCACCACGGGGACACCCTGGGGACACACAGTAAGGAGAGTGGATATGGAGATGTCTCAGCACCATGGGGACCCACAGTAAGGAGAGGGGACACAGGGATGGCTCAGCACCATGGGGACATCCTGGGGACCCACAGCAGGGAGAGGGGAGACAGGGATGGATCAGCACCATGGGGACCCACAGCAGGGAGAGGGGGCACGGGGATGGCTCAGCACCACGGGGACACCCTGGGGACACACAGTAAGGAGAGGGGATATGGAGATGGCTCAGCACCATGGGGACCCACAGTAAGGAGAGGGGACACAGGGATGGCTCAGCACCACGGGGACAACACGGGGACCCATGATGGGAAGGGGGGATGCAGGGATGGCACAGCACCCTGGGGACACCCCATGAGCCAATGAGAGGAAGGGGGAGACTGGGACAGCTCAGCACCACGGCGATACCCCAGGGACACCACAAGGACCTGCAGGTCACCCCAAGGACCTGGGGACAACCCCGGGGACCCCCAACCTTCAGAGGGGACGGAGAGGGCGACACCCACCTTTCTCCTGGCTACGCAGCAGCAGCTCGTATTTGTGAGTGCAGGCGTTGTAGTCGCGCTCCACCTGCAGCCGGTCATCGGGCTGGAAGCTCTGGGAGTCCTGGCTGTCCCGCAGGAACTCCTGGTAGTGCCTCTCCAGGCTGGACAGGACCTGACGCACCTCCTCGGCCGGCAGCGTGCGGAACTGGCAGGGGGGGGTCACAGCCGTGTCAGCCCCTGCTGGGACCCCTGGGACCCCTGCGCCGCTCCGGGACCCCCAGGAACTCACCGTGACGTGGGTCCAGGAGTGGATCTGCTGGATGTCCCGGGTCAGGTACTGCCAGGCGCGGAGGCTGCGCAGGTCCTGGTGCAGCTGCTGCCACAGCCCCAGCAGCTGCTGGTGGGCGGTCTCCAGCCTGTGGGGATGTCGAGTTAGAGGTGGGAAGGACACAGGGGAGCCCGGATGGGGTGCAGGGGTGCTGTCCCCACCTGTGCACGGCGTCCAGAGCCTCCTTGTTGGGGGGTGGCAGGAGGAAGCAGACCGAGGGGACGACGGCCTCGCCGCCAGCGGCGCTCAGCACCCGCCACTGCTGCGGCTGTGCGTGGTTCACCAGGGCACAGGTGTCGTTCTTGTGCACCGTCACCTGCGGGGCAGGGGGTCAGGGTGGGGTGTGGGCCCTTGTGTCCACCTGTGCCTCCCCCTCATTCCCCAGTGTCCCCCCCATGTTCCCCTATGGGCCTGGTGTGGTCTCAGTCTGGGTGGGGGGGATCCCTTGTGTCCCCCCCTTGTGTCCCTTCATGGGGCTGGGGCAGCATCAGAGAAGGGTGGGAGGTCCCCCACATGTCCCCTTGTCCCCCAGGGTGGTGTCACACCGAGGGGGGGCGTCCTCCTGTGTCCCCCCCACGGGACTGGGGCAGCATCAGAGTGGGGTGCTGGACCCACCATGTCTCCCCACATCCACCCCAGGGGAACCAACCCCAATCCAACCCTCACGTCCCCCGCACCTCCATTTGCTTGTAGTCGCAGACGGCCTGGATGGGGGGGCGGCCCTGCAGGGGTGTCGAGGGGCTGCGTGGCTTCAGCTGCACGATGGTCCTGGCGCGGCGGGAGAGACCCCCCAGCTGCGCCCCCAACTCCGCCAGCTGCTCCTTCTGCTCCTGTGGGGGCAGGTTGGGGACACCTCAGGATGTGGAGTGTCCCATGGTGTTGAGCGGCATCAGAATTTTAGGGAGGTACCAGTTTTGTTGTTTTTTTTTTTTTGCGAGAGCTCAGAAATATCAGGAGGTTCCAAAGGTTTTGGGAGCTCTTGGGGTTTTGGGCGGGTGCCAGGAGTTTGGGGAGGGGTCAGGAATATGAGGCAGGTCACCCTGGTGTCTGTTGCAGCAATGGGGTGTGGGGGTCACCCCAGGGGCTGCAGTGGGGTGGGCACCCCAGCACTCTGCAGCGGGACACCCCAGGGGCTGCTGTGGGACTCTGATTTTGGGCCTCATCATGGGGGCTGCCACCTCAGAGCTGCCAGGGGCTGGGGTCACCCCGCACGTGAGGTCAGCCTGGGCTTGCCATGGGGCTGGGGTCACCCTGGAGGTGTCACCATGAGGATCTTGGGGGGATCAACCTGGGCTCCCACCTGCCCTCGCTACAGGGTGATGCAGCAGGGTCACCCTGCAGATCTTGGGAGGGTCACCCTGGGGGTCACTGTGGGGGTCTCCCCGGGGTCCGGGGGTCTCCCTGGGGGTCTCAGGGGTGCCCTCACCGCGAGGTCCTGCAGCAGGTCCTCAAGGCGCGTGGCCGTGGTGCCGCGGTCGCAGCTGAACTTGCGCCGCATCGTCTCCTCCGTCTTCCGCAGCAGCTCCTCGGCCTCCCGCACCTCGGCGAAGAACTGGGGGGGCCAGGGGTCAGCGCTGGGGTCACGCCCTCCCTCCCACTCCCAGCCCCGCCCTGGCACCCCCCGTACCTGGAAGTAGTTGGTGTTCTCCTTCAGGTGGGTCTCGATGCAGCAGCAGAGCTGGAGCATCCAGCTCCACTGGGTCTGCAGCGCTGCCAGGAACGCCTGCGGGGAGCGGGGGGGACGCCGGGGCTGGCACCGAGGGCACCTGCACTGCTACAGGTGCCCACACCCACACCTGGCCTGCACTCACACCTGCACCCACACCTGTACCCAGACCTGTACACACACCTGTACCCACACCTGTACCCACATCTGTACACACACCTGCACCCACACCTGGCCTGCACCCTCACGTGAGCTGCACCCACACCTGTACACACACCTGACCTGCACCCTCACCTGGCCTGCACTCACACACACCTGTACCCACACCTGTACACACACCTGTACACACACCTGAACTGCACCCACACCTGCACCCTCACCTGTACCCACACCTGCATCCTCACCTGGTCTGCACCCACACCTGCACCCACACCTGGCCTGCACCCTCACGTGAGCTGCACCCACACCTGTACACACACCTGACCTGCACCCTCACCTGGCCCCCACTCACACCTGCACCCTCA